GTTCACCCAACGGTTCGAAGGTGGCCCCGGCACGTAGAACAACTCACCTGTCTTGCGATGCGCTCCAGCACTCTTGCCATGAGATCTGTCGGCCACGGCAGAATCTCGGGCGCCACTCTCTCGGCAACCCAGCATCGTGTCAGCTCCTGTAAGTCGCGCGATTCCTGTGGCGTCGAGTCGACAGCGACCTCGGCTAGTAGGTCGTCGATATCCATGATTGCTCTTGTCTCGAATTGCACATGCAAAAGACCAGAAAATTGGCCGTCGACACTGAGAAAAACAAGCGCAGAGGCTCGTCTATGCAGCCAAGATACCGTGCCGCATGTGGCAGGTAGAGTATGTAATGTACTATAGCACGCGTTGAACTGTGTGTGCGTGCTTTGTGAGATCAGCAAGTGCTCGGAGCTCGGAGCTTAGCTCCCCTCGCAGCTGAGGTGGGGCAAAAGCAAAAATAGATGGGGCGCAAACAAGAGTAACCCACAACGTATCCGCCCTCCCAAAGCGGGTGTCGGATATATGAAATTACTCTGAGACGTGCGATTTGGGAGACTTGGGTGGCGATGGGGTGCATCGGCGCAGGCAAGACACGGGCTGGCGTGCAGGATGCAGCATAACGTCGATTTGCGCAGGTTTGGTGGGGAAGCCATGTTTGGGGAGAGCGGGGCTGGCACAGTGTTAGCGCCAAACGCGTTGGGACCTCACGCGACTGCACGGCTGGGTCCCTAGGACTCTTCCGGGCAATGCCACTCATCCATCTGAGGCACAAGGAGCCCGCCTTTCCGGCTCAACAGATCTATCGGGCATAGCTCAAGGCGTCTGTCCGGCCAAATCAACAACAATGCGTCTGACTCGGGTACCGACCACTGACAACAAACAATGCGAGAGGTATGAGGGGTAATTCCTTTTGTTTGTCTTGCAAGTCCAACCTCTTCTCCAGTTGGCTGCTTTGTCATTCTGTATCACGCCAAGTACATACTCTCAATCTCCACATGTATCTAGCACAAACACACCGACTTGTAGGGGCAACAAATGTGACAAGTGAACAAGTCCATCAGAGACACAAAGAACAAACACCAAACAAAGCACCGTGGCCAACAAAACAAAGACAAAGACAACCACATCACTCTCCCAAGTACTAACAAGAGCACACCAAACAAGCATAAACGTGAATGTGAATGATCAATGAGATGGATTATAATGTGCTGGTAATGAGCGTTTGTACAGGCACGTAAACCCAGACTGTGTATGTGGCTTCGTGATGATTCTTAGATTTTGGTTCAAGTGAACTCGGCCAAGAGCATCTTCCAGCTCTGCCATTGCAAAAAAGGAAAAATCCGGTTGAGGATGTACATGGTGACAAAGGAAATTAGGGTGCTTGCGGGCAGACTGGATCAACCTGCACAGCGGTCGCCGTAAACGTGGTGGGTATCCAGCCATCCCACTCAAGAAATGGTAACGTATGCCCGGGCCCTTGGCTCCGCGACATGGGGTATAGAAACGAAAACGGGGTCAGGATGCCCCAGAGATCAGATGCAGACTGTTTTCCTCTGACAGAGATGTTCGAGGACTATGCAGAACAAAGGAAATCGCTTGAACGCCCCGGTATAATCGAAATAAAGGACAAGAAAAGAGAAAAGTAAACGCCAATGCTGTGGGGATCCAATGCCGATGCAGCAAGTATTGATAAACGCCATGAATCGATCCGCCGTCAAGTTAGTTTGGTATCGTAATTGAGGCCAGAGGCCAATGTGCGGGGGTTTTTTTTAGTAAGAGGCAAGGCGACGGGTACTAGCCCGAGCGCCGTCCAATGAGTCGCTGCCAAGGCAGAAGATGTTGTTTCCACTTCTTGACCGGCTCATGGTTGTAGGGCTGTCCTCCATTTGGCAGGGTTGTCCAAAGGTAAAGGTAGTGGCACGGTTGAGCTTAGCACGCGACTTGAACTTGAGCTTGTTAAGGCCGCGCTCGCACGACTGTTCGTGCTCTTTGGCGTCCATGCGGAGGTAGTTTTGAGGATAGCATCGGGTAGCGTGGGCATGGAAGAAGGAACTGTAGCCACCATCAAGGATGTAGACTTCGGGAAAGGAGAGGAAAGGATACTGGTGAGCGTTCTCTTTGCGGTCTTGCGAGCGAACAAACTTGGCCCTGTTGCTATTAGTTGGTGAAAATCGACCATGGATGGACCAATTGACTTACATCAGAGGAGCACGATGAGCCGAGTACTCGCAATGGAGCACCAAGAGAGTATTCTCACTAGAAGGGGCCTGGAAGAGACGCTCGGCAAGCTTCTCCTTGTCACAAAAGTTCAAAGCACCTTCAATGTGCCCACCGTTGTATTCATACTCGAAACGGCAGTCAATAACCACCTTGTTGTCATACAGGTGGTCGTAAACACCATCGAGCACGTCAATCAAGGTCTCACGGGTAATGCGAGGAAGGCTCTCTGGTTCGCTAGTAGTGAAATGAGGAAGTTTGAGTGGGTGGACATCATCAACATCCATTACAGACTGAAGACCACTGGGCTGATAGTTCTCCTGCTCCTGTTTGGCATTCATCACATCACCGGGGCTCTCGAACATGCTCAATGAACGTCGGAACTTGCTTGGCCGACGCGAGGAGGGACCAGCAGGCTTCCGGATGGCGGCAAGGGGCGATCCATTTGAACTAGAGGTAGCAGTAGAGTTGAGACGGTAGGCCTTGGGCCTAGAAGAGCCGAATAGGGATCCATTCGACGTGGGCCTGCTGCGCTCTTGCGGAGGCGAGGCGGCGAAGCACTCGTCTAGGGTTAGTGAAGACGAGGTGCGGCTGAAGTCACCACACCCGAACTGGAAAGGCGGAGGCGGAGGCACCGAGTTCTCGTCAGACTTCTCATCATCCTTGAAAGAAACAGAGTTGGACGAGTTGTTCTTGGAGCGCATCAAAGAAGGCCTAAGCAGGGCAGACTTGCGACGACTACGTTGTGTTAGTCGAGATAGAGCAGGCATATATGGCAAAGAAATACTAACTCAGCAGCAGACACTGGGCGTGGAACCTCGAGGTTTGGCGCCGAGTACGTGGGAGGCGTAGGCAGGTCGCTGCACGACGACAACATGTCACTGTCGGTGCCGGGAGTGGTTTCGGGCGAGGGCGAGGGAAGCGGCAGAGAGCGGTCGTTGACGAAGCTAAAGGGGGCCTTGTGGGGAAGAGGCGAGATGTCCATCGAGTCTGGAGCGAAGCCGGGCGACGAAGAAGGAATTGGTGGAGTGGTGACACCTTCCCATCGGGCAATTGGGGTCAGGTTTTCTACAAGAGCCTTGTTAGAACATGCACCTCCCCTCCCATTGTCATGAGCACAGCCACTTACCCCTTGTGTCCAACTGCTGAAAGAGATTGGACGTGAAGAGCGACCGACGGGGCGTGGCGAGCTGAGGGCTGTAACAAAGGGCATTAGCACCGAAAGCGGAAGGTGTCTGAAACCAAGCGTAGTTTTACCTCTGGTCAACGTGCAGGTTGCTCGACATGTCGGCAGCCAGACTGGCAGTGGGCGAGGAGCCGATGCGAGGCTGGAGGGCAAAGTAGTCTCCACTGGCCTTCTTCATGCTGAGATCACGGAAATTGAAGCTCTTGGGGCCAAGGTTGTGTGCACCCCCGAAGAGCGGCTTGGATTGAGGCAGGTCACGGCGATAACCCCAGGGACCGGGAATTGGGGGCGGGTGCATGGCGGCAAGAGGCGAAGACATCTCCATGGTGGTGAAGGTGAGGCTGGACTATCGTCGTACCGGGCAACAGGCGGAAACGAGCGTCGGCTTGATTGGTGTAGTAGCGTCGTCGGGTGAAGGCGATAAGGCATACAAGACAGAAAAGCTAATTCCAATCTGAAGATGCTGGGGCAAGATGTAATGGGAGGGATAATCGGGGCTGGTGTCGTCGTCGTCGTGGGTTGTTGGCGGTGGTGGTGGTAGCGGGCGTTGGTTGTCGAATTGGGTGCTACAGGCGGGCTCCGGACATGAGGCTGCAGGCGCGATGGGGGAGGTGGGTGAAGGAGGTAGCGACTGCCTATAATGGATGTGGGAGATCCAAGCAAAAGCTCTCTTTGTCGACAAGGCGAGTGGGCCAAGTTAAGTCGATGGGGGATTGTGCCTTCTTGGGGGAGAGAAGGGTAGAGAGAAAGGACGGCGGGTCCGTCACGCAGCTGGCTTTGAGGATGCCATGGTTGCTGGGGTAGCCCGCTGAGAAGGTTAGGGCGGACGACCAGGGCATGGGGCTGCTAAGCTAGGCGCTTGCACACACCGGAGGCCTCACTGCCCAGCACCAGCACGGGTCAAAGAGGACTGGGTAGTGGAGTTTGTTCGTTCCGGCTATGCAGCACGTCCAAGCTGCGCTGCGATGATCCGCTGCCTCTAATGCCGCCGCAGGTACACCGGCTGCTGATTTGATCGCGATGGCATGCTCGGCAGCTTGCGTGCAGCTGGGCTGCAGCTTGATGACGCCCACTGCAGACGGGTAAACCAGTGTTTGCAGAGCGTCTGTGTACAGACATGGCCTGTCTGCCTTGTTCTCTCTGTGTGTGTGTATGTAGGGTCATCATCATCATCATGTATGTATGTGCATTAATTACTTCGCCCGGCACTGGCAGGCCGCTCTACCACGGCACCGTGTGCGTCTGACGGCTGCTGCTTCATGTCTGTCTACTGTACATAGTAATAGATGGCTGCACCAGGCCGGTCCATGTCGCCGTGTGCAGCGCGTTGCCAGAGAAGCAACCGGCTAGCTCGACGCGGCTCAGACCCATGGCGGATGGGTGCACCCTGTAGCGCAGCAGGTGGAGGGGTGAAACGATGAGTTTGCGTGCGCCCGCCCGCCTGATAGTACATCCACCACTACTCAGAGTCGCGCCGCCGAGACGAGAGGGTGGCCTCGGAGTGGTTCAGCGTGGGTGGGTGTAGCGTGTAGCCGTATGCGTACCATGGAGACCGTCTCCAAGGGAAACCAGCCCACTCGGTACCAAACATGGGCGACTGCGGCTAGCTGCCCGCTGCATGGCCTTGCATGTGCGTGCGGAAACCGAACAGGCCAGCAACCGCCGTCGCCAAAGACGCGTGAACTGGCCCACGGCAGCCTGTGGATGTGCAGTGCAGTTCCCTACACGGACAACTGCCTAGTCGTGCTAGCGAGTATTTTCCCAGTTGGCGTAAGTCAGTAAAGTAGCCGAGTAGCAAGTATTTTCCTATTACTATTGGAAACAGCCCACTTGGCCGCTCGCATAGCACAGGTAGGCAGTAGGCAGGCCCATTCTGCCGCCGACTACCTATTCTTTCGTCATCGGCCAGGGAACGGCACACGTCTGGCACGCCCTCTGCCAGGGAATCTGCCATGGCGACGCTGGCCTCCATGTCATCCTGCTCACCTGCGGGCCGCTCATTGGCCATGGAGCAGCGAGGCGCACCCATTGGGCGAGCGGGAGATTTCCATGCTTCTTTCGGTGCAGCTCGACCGACGTCGCACGCCCATTCCTTACTTACTTACTACCTACCCACGCTCCCACGCTCTGCCCACAGGCGCCGTGGATGCGGCGACTGGCCACTGCATGGCTCGTTCACGCTCGGATCGCCTTGTCGGGCCCATCCATGTCCTCCCCCCCTCCAAGCGGGCGCGCATTGCACCGGCCTGGCCTCGCCCCAACACACTACCCTCCTAGTGGCGTGCCTGCGATCGAGGCTGCTGCAACGAGATCTCGATGGTGACACCCTCCAAACGTCATACTCAATAAGGCTGAGGCCACGGCCGCCGGCTTGCCATGAATGGACTTGGTGGGCTAAAGTAAGTCGTAAAGTAGGCAAACCTGTTCGGCGCCTGTCAAGCCGCAGCCAGCGTCCCCTCGTCTCTTGAGCAACGGGCGAGTACATGTTTATTGTGTGGACACGATGCTGCCCGGCCAACGACGTCAGCAGGCAATTACTCGGCGTGGCCGGGGCGGCGGTCGTGCAGCGTCTGGAGGCGAGCTGAGTCGCTGTTCGAGAACAGCGGCTGTTTGCAACGAGGCCGTAGAGGGCAAGCGGCGAGCGAGTGCACAAACTCTTTCATAAGCGCAGCCTGCACGCGCCCCCGCCAACGGGCTGGCCTGACCCCTCCTTTTGTGGGTCCCCAGCGCGCGCCATGGAAACAAAAAAGCCTCGTCGCCAGGTGCGACGCGTCCGCGCCGGCCGTACACAAACAATCCCAAGCACGCTATCACATGACCATAACCACCATTCCATCCACACACACCACTGCGCCAGTCTCACCACACAGGGTCCGTCATATACCCCAGACCGCGGGACCCGCCCGCGTTACCGTCTACGGCCTATTGTGCGTTTCGAGACCCTGAAAATCTGCATCGTGACAGCAGGCTAGCCCTCATCCTCTTTGTCACGAGAGCAGCACCTGGCCGCACGCTTCCGATCTCACTCTGCTTGACACCATCATCAATATCACCCTTACGTACGTACTTTACTCTTCTTGGTGGTGGAGATTGCAAGACGAGAATGCATGCTCAAGTGTGAAAAAAAAAATCATTAAAAATTCTCTCCCTTCCCACATACTACGACTACTACTAGAACTAACCCGGCCCCGCCTGGTCACTCACCCCGAAAACAAAGCCCCTTCTCCCTTCTGCTTTCCCTTGATGGGTTCGCCTCAAAGAACTTAAAGAGTCAGCACACCCTCCCACACACCGGATAATCCTTTGTTGCACCGCCAGCTGGCTGCTGCGCATCGCAGCCGCATCCGGCCCACTAAAGGATTCGCTCGCCTCTATCAATATTATACCCCCAGGGAACACGAGTTTCACTTCTGCATGCGGATCGTGTGCGGCCTCGCGCTCGGCAGGTCGCTATCTGAGACGACGGGACGCTGTGACGCTGTGACGCGCCTGTAGAGGCTGCTACATGCGGGGGGATATCCTCCGACCAACTAATCGTCCTGCCAGCCGGTTTGAGCTGCGACAACGGCACATCGCTTCCTGAGGAACATTCACCATCCTCAAACACCGTCAATTTTATCATCATTTGCATGCGTTTCCATCCCATGGCCTCAGCCCATTTTCTGATTCATGTTTACGCGTTGCCATCGCGTTGCCATGGAGATGCACTGGGTAAGACGTGCCTCATTGTGTACCCGGCTCCGCACAACTTTCCGACGAACCCCACCACTCTCACAATTATACTCAGAATAAGAAAAAGGGGCCGACCTTTTTGTTCTCTGCGTGGTGCGTGCCATGCGCACAAAAAAGGAGAGCGAAGTTTTTCACCGGGGCACCGACCAATGCAATCTGCCATATCGATACGCTCACCGTCTTCTCCTGACCACCCAACACGTAATTTGCACCTCGAACAAGCATTTAAACTGTCCAAATCCCCATTGCTGCACACCACTTCCAGCAGATCCCACTCTCGCGTCCACGTGTAGTCCCCGAAATGCTTCGTGCTTCATCAGCTTTTCCTTACGTGGCAGTGTGTACTTCCTTATTCCTCGTCCAAAAAGGAAGGTCATGATGGTCAAGATCAACTCGAACAGGTCATTCTCCACCGCTCCACGGAGATATTGATCAAATGAGCAAGAAAGAGCTGAAAGTCTAAATCCATCTTGAGCATTTCCATATACATGGTGCGACAAGCTAACCATTTCTCATTATCCGGAACTCCGCTATTCCGTCTGATATCCGTTGCTGTGACTGCCAACAACATGCGTCATACCTAGTCCATTCCTTGCTCGATTCTCCTGCTCAACCACGCTCAGTGGCAGTCCTTTGCCAACTCCGCACAAGACAAATGCCGCCCACTTCCACCGGAATGGATTGATGGCAATGGTGAAGACAAACCAGTAAATCAGCTCAGAGTATGTGAAGAAATCAAATGCTCCTCCAGGCGCCTTGCTCTTGATGAACCGCGTCATGTCTATCCATCGCTTCATCCACCACGTCCTGGGTCGCGCCAGCGGGTCCACCAGATACATCAGCAGGAAGCGCGTGTAGATGCCAATGTGGTAGTTTCCAACCGTGCCAATTGCATTGACATATGTACAGTTGTTTGCGCAAATCGAAGGGTGGTCTGGTGGGAAGACTTGAAGGTACCAATTCGGTGGATCATATGGCTCGTTGAAGACTTCCTCTGGCAGGAAGCCCAGGCTGGGTCGTTTGTATCCCGTAGCCATGATGACAATGTCCGCTTCGATCAGTTTCTCTGATCCAGGCCCATTCTTGGGAACCCCCTGAGCGCGTTTGTTGAACTTGATGCCCCGACCAGAGTCATCATAACCCATGATATCGCCGCGCAGCCAGGAAGCTTTACCTGAGCGAATGAGGTCGAGAACCTGATTGTTGACCATTGGTGTCTCGGTGAAGAGCCCCTTTCCACTATTGGGCGCCGGCGAAATGTCGTACAGGTCGCGGTAGAAGAACAATCTCAGAACGTATTCTGGAATCCAGGAAAAGATTGTTTCGGAGCCGAAAATGTTCAGAGCCAGAAGAGCGTCGATGAATGGATTCCGTGGGATAATCCACTTCTCACTGCGTGAAAGGACATATGCATGTTCTGCCTCTTCGTTCGCAACCCACTCCAGTGCCTCAACAGCTGATGCACCTCCACCAATAATGGCTACTTTCTTCCCTTTGGCCACCTTGCCGTCTAGGTCCGAGCTGTGCCAAATCTTTCCCTTGAAATTCTCCTGGCCATGCAGCCTCGGCATCTTTGGATCACCACATGTCCCGATGGCTGCAATGACTCCATCAAATCGTCCGTAGCTCGGGTCGTTGATAATCCATCGTCCATGCGGATCTTTGTACACCTTCTCCACCTTTGTGTTGAATTCCGTCTTTTCCTCCAGTCCATATCTCTTCCATAATTGTGTGATCTGCGACACTATCTGCTGGCGGTCCGGATATCCCTTCTTCCAGTGCACCGAGGGGTGGAAGCGATACATGACCGAGTGGATTTGCAGACCAGAAGTGTTGTTCACTCGGCTCCAGATCCCACCGAGGTTTTCCTTTGGCCCAGCCTCGAAGATACGGCAATCAAAGCCATGACCGACAATGTGTGAAGCAGCCGATACACCGGTGAGGCCAGCGCCTATGATGGCGATCTTCGGACGAGCGAGGTTTGAATGGGGTGGAGGAGGAGTAGGTGAAAGGAGCAAGTCAAGCACATATTGCACCACTTGGTAGATGAAGAGGACAGGGTGCGTAACAAAGTACCAAATATAGTCGACAAAGTATCCCATCGTGGGTGGATGGGCTACAGCAATGAACAAACTGACAGAAGGGAGAGACAGAGGATGAGCCTTGCAAAGGTTAAGTAAGACAAGAGCACTTTAACATGTTACTTACTAGTGTCGGACATTTGCGGGAAACGTGCAGCTTCTACATGGTTGTTCTGCGCATTACGCTCGGTGATGTCACAGTGGTGGGTCTGACATGTGAAAGGTACCAAGTTGACCGTCAGACCTACACGTCACGTTACTCGGCTTAAACGAGGAAGATCCCGATAGAAAGTTGCTGACATAACGTCATCAGGTGAGCAATCTTTGACAGATCTGAGATCAAATCTAGAAATGGCCAACGAAACTCTCGGAAAGGGGCGAAGGGAGATGTTCTCCATCCCAATGATCGACGGTAAGGATATGCGGGTGTTAGCCGAAGGAGCTTGGACCCTCAGCTAGTGCGTATATAGGTTAGTGCATTGTTGAACATCCTTAGCCACAGAGAGCTCTCCCGTTTAGCTTGACTCCACCCCCAAACTGTCGACGGGGGTTCTTGCAGCCATGCCATTCTTCCAAAATCAGAACGATGTCGAGACGCGTCTGTGCACCGCCGTCAACGTCGCTATACGAGCAGGTGATGCCAACCAATTACAGTCAATCGTGCTCCTGGAGCCGCTTGAGGCCAACCGCTGGCCACCAGATCATCAAGAGCTCATAAACTCGTTGAAGCAAAATTATCCTGCTTCTAATCCGAGCTCTGAAAAACGTCTCGAGGATCTGGTCAGACGAGTGGTGACTGAGACGGCTGAGTCCGAGGATGAAGAGGGAAGACCAGTGCAATCTTGGGGATCGCTTGTCACGTTTCTCGTTGGATGGATGACCTTTCTCAGAGATGTCGACGCCAACAATCTCGTCATGGTATTCGAAATGATGACAGATCTTCAACCGTAAGTTTGACCACTGTATACTACATCTTAGAGACACAGGTGTTGATAGAAATGTTAGACGTGCCAACAGCGCATTGCAACATCCTACCAAGGGCATCATGATGCTTCCCACAATCATGTACTATGCCAAGGTTTTTGCACGGGTTGCAATCGGCTTGGACAACAACCCTAGTCTGGCGCAGCAGCTTCTAACTGACGTGGACGAAGATGGCCAGAGAGAATCATTACCAGAGAAGGCTGCCAACATTGTACGACAAGCCTTCATCATCTGCTTAAACGATCGCAACACTGTGCCAGGTGGCATAAAAGACGGCAGGCCCGATGGAAAGAAGGTGGGCATCTACAAGATGGCCAACATATGCCTGAAGACCTTATTTCAAGCCGACAAGCTGGGAAGCTGCGAAACCATTTTTAACAACATTTCAAATTCATCTCCACCACTACATTTTTATCCTGCCGCGGAGCGGACAACATATCTTTACTACCTCGGAAGATATCACTTTAGTAACACCAACTTTCACGCTGCTCAGCTGGTTCTGGAGGTAGCATACAGAGGCTGCCATAGGCAATGTCCAAAGCAGCGCCGCCTGATCGCTGTCTGTCTTGTCGCCGCAAACATTATTCTTGGCCGTTTCCCAAACGAACACATTTACAACGATCCAGCCAACGTTGGCTTCCGCGAAGTATTCGTCCCAATCACTCAAGCCATTCGCAAGGGCGACCTGGAAACCTTTCGCCGCATTACAAACCTGGATCTTTCGCATCCAAGCGCCGAATTCATGATCAAATACCGCATTTTCTACCCCATCGGCAACTACTGCGAAGTCCTCGTATGGCGGTCACTCCTCCGAAAAGTCTTCATCCTCACCGGTAGCATAGGCGAGACATCAAAAGCCGCAGCCTTACTCGATCTCCGCGCAGCCGTCCAAATATTCCGCTTCCTCGAGGCCCGCTCGAGAATCAAGAATGCGGCATTGGCAGCACAGGACCGCGGCCCAGGCCGTCGCAATTTCGGTCACATCTTCCAGGACCACGCTTCAACTACCAAGTCGACATACATTGACCCGGACTTTGCCGGCCTGGACAATGTACAGCCATATACCCACGAATTCGATATTCTGGAAATGGAATGTATATGCGGTAGCTTGATTACTCAGGGATTCCTCAACGCGTATATTGCGCAGTCGAAGCAAAAGGTGGCGATTCAGGGTGTTAAGAACGGAAACCTCAATGCTGGCTTCTTGGTGCCGTGGGAGGTCAATAAAGAGAAGAACAAGGACGATGTGCTGGGCTGGAAGAAGGAAGCTGGAGGTGATGGCGGTAAAGTCGTTAGACTCTCGTTTGCAGCTCCGGCAGGCTCGTAAAGACGTGTGCGGGATGATACCCTTGTATTCGGTTTGCATTTTTACAAATAAAAAAGATGATATGCTAGCATCCTATGGAAGGATTTCAGTTCATACATAGCAGTAGTTTTATCTCTAACTATTTATCTATCTCTACACATTTCTTCACACCAACCCCCCCCCTTTCGTCTATTTCCCAACATTCGTAAACCTCAAATACTTCTTAACCTCCCTCACCTCTCCAAACTTCTTCCTCGCATCCTCGGTACTCACACTAGTCGGCACAATAACATCATCCCCCTTTTGCCAATCAATCGGCGTTGCAACACCCTTCTTATCCCCCGTTTGCAAACTATCAATCACCCGCAGCACCTCCGCCGTGTTCCTACCCGTACTAGCCGGATACGACATTGTGAGTCGAATCTTCTTGTCCGGATCGATGATGAAGACGGAGCGAATGGTAAAGGCGATGCCACCGTTCTTCTGCAGCGCGTCAAGATCGTCTTGCGAGATCATGTCGTACAGGTATGCGACGTGGCGGTCTGCGTCGGCGATGATGGGGAAGTGGACCGTGGTTTGCGACGTTTCGTTTATGTCGGCGATCCAGTCGGCGTGCGAGGATAGGTCGTTGGCGCTCTGATGTGTGTGTGTGTGTGTTAGTATGTGTGTCTTGATTGATTCGTGGTTGTGGAGATGATGTGGAAGACAACGTACGAGACCGATCATTTGGACGCCGCGGGCGTCGAATTCGGGCTTGAGTTTCGCAAAGGCGCCTAGTTCGGTTGTGCAGACTGGGGTGAAGTCTGCGGGATGGCTGAAGAGGATGGTCCATTTTCCGTTGAGGAAGTTGTGGAAGTCCTGGTCGGCGTGTTAGTTGTTGCTTCGTGGGATGGAAGGGAATGCGTACGATATCGCCATGGGTGGTTTTTGCCTGGAAGTTTGGAGCTGGCGTCAATTGGTTAGTATACGTATTGCTGTGAGGCGCTTTGATATATCTCAAGTACCAATGGATCCTAGCCTTAGGCGTGGTTGCTCAGCTGGAATCGCATATCCACGACGGAGCAGTGGGGTGACGGGACGCTGTGCCCGCAACACAGGGCGCGCAGACGAGCGCAGAGCTCGGGAAGCTGCGCGAGGAAGGAATGAAGCCATAGTATAGAGCACAAATCACAATCAGTTTGTTGCAAGTAAGTTCTTTAGCTCTTGTACGTCGTCTGGGGGCGATGGAAATTAGTCAATTTGAGATCCTTTTCCAATGGCGTCATCTCGAATCAGAGGGGTTCTGTCGGTCCGAAATCGGCTGTCTTTCTCTCATAACTTTGGTGTTTATCTTCATTTAAATTATCATTCATGACGATTGGGAAATATTAAAACATAATTGTTTGGAATTCGTTGCAATGCCTGGAATACATATCGAAAAGGACGTTGGTGTACATGCACTAGTAGCGGCATCCCTTCCACCCGCCGTGTCTCACATAGCACTGTCCACCTTTCCATCTTTGATAGTCACTTCCAGCTCATCCTGAGATTCAAGCATGAAAGGAACAGTGACCCCTTTCCATAGTCGTGCTGGAACCTTTTCGTCTTCGCCCTCCTCGTTCTCAACTTTTCCGCGCCACCAGCGGCAACCCTTTGGATGCATCCGGATCTTGTACTTTCCATCCTGTAGTCCTTGCACCTTCCAATCTATCTGGTGCACAACAGTAACCAGTTTATGAGGCTCCAATGCTATCAACTCGTCTACTTTAAGTCGCGTATCGGCTTTGGGGTCGCTCAAGTGACACTTGCTGAGATCTTCATGTCCACGGACCACTTCTCCCGTTGCAGCATCAAGAACCACGAGACTAGATATCGGAGCATAATTTTGTGGCGTAGAGTCGATGATTCTTGGACGGTCGTCGAGCATATCGGGTTCTGGCTGCATGGGGCCCCATGGAACAAGAAAATTTTGGTGGCCTCGAGGTTGTACAGTGATGATTTCCTCCGTCGTATTTTCAACGGTAACTTCTAGCAACGTGCTCTCAACCAAGCGTAGCCTCACCTCCACTTTCGGTGGGAACAACAGCTTGTCCGTGACTTTGAATGTTGCATTGCCATGGGAGTAGCTGTTGACCAACTTTGCCGTTTCACCATGAGCCGCTGCAAACTGATCTTGGTTGCCGTACGTCCATTTGCTGACACCGAGGTCTTTACTCGCAAGTTTTATTCTGTACCTGTTGCCTACTTTGAGCAGCGATGCCAAAGCACCCTTCACATCAATATGGTCCAGATATACCGTCATATCGTCCTTCCAGTTCTTCGTTCTGCTGACTGGAGAAGGAACAGAAATACATTCTGGAGTATTCTTGTCAACTTCTCCTATTTTACTCAAATCCACATCGATCCATTTTGTAGCTTCCCCAGGATGCTCCTCCTGTAGGGTAAGCAAGCCATGTATCAAGGCGTATGGGACATCGAACACTGAGCCTGCAGTCTCGATAAGTAGTGGGCGAGGATCCGTATCGGACTTGGAAAGACGGCAGATGCCGAACACAACACTGAATGGTAGTTGTCCTGATGCGTCAAAAACGTTGTAGCGGCTGTGAGGTTGTACGTGAATGGAGAATTCGCTCGTCATGATGTGAGTGTAATAGGGGTGTCAAGATTCAAAGTGATTCCAAGAAGGGTAACAATTCTATAAAGCAAGCCCTACGGTAGGTTTGGGGCGCATGGTCGAATACGAAAGTTCGTAGACAGTGACGTCAGGTAGGCGCGTACTGTAGGCTGTGGCACAGTATGAGTCCTATTCTGAGTCAATCGCTCAAATGGGGCGAAAAGTATAAGGCGTCCAGAATTTTCCAGGATTGATTGGCCCATTACTTAACAACAACAGAATCCATCCGCATCTTTCAGCCAAAGAGAGTGCAGCACGCTATATCTCGGATTCCGGTGCTTACTGGTTCAACATATTCTATCGGCGATGTGTAGACCAGGGTACTGTTCCCCGCCACCCCCAACACGATGCACAAATCATGATTCGCCCACTTCCTGGGTTGGGAACCGTTTCGCCTTATACCGCCCCAGAATTATGTGGCTATGCAAAAAACCTATAGTATTACACTTGTGTCACGTTTATGTACTCGGTATATGGTGCCAAACGAGGTAAGTGGAACAAAAGTATTATACGCTTTCGAGTATGGTTCTGTATCGCATAAACATCAATCGGAAATTGGCCAGTAGTATTGAATCTGTATCGAGATTTCGAGCTTTAATCGCTACCAGACAAGACCCCTTTGGTGCGTAATTATAGAATGTGGATGTTGCCTTGGTGGATGACTTCAAAGTACTTCGGTCGCCTTTGTACGACCAAGGCGTCCCGTTCTACATCATTAGATTTCTAATAGAACCCATCAAGTGAGAATAAATGTACCATGTTTGACCATGAAACTTCAGGCAAACTATGTTGCTCCGAGGAAACGACATAGCCATAGGATCAGACCACGGTCATTGTTGCTTTGCTCGCCCGAGTATTGCACGAGAATAGTATACTATAGAGTAAGCTGACTTTGTAGGAATCAGGCGTACTCATATCGCACAGTTTCACCTATACGTGAATGATCGTGATGGGAGTTCCTGCAAGCGGCCTCGAGAGTACCTCTGGCAGCAAAAAAATGTATATATGGCATTGGATTCAAATGCAAATTTACACCAATACCTACAACATCATCACATTCTTCTTAAGAGCAGCGGATATCTAGTGCTCAGAGTCCAAATTCTTATTCTACACCTATCCTTCCTAGCAGACAACGTTTCCAACATGACTTTCTCTAAAGCCTTTGTTCTTGCTCTTGCTCTTGCAACAGCGGTTCACGCAAAACCAATCTCCAACCCACCGACTAGAGTAGTCGCTCGACAAGCCCCACCGGAGCCTTCGTCCTATCCACTGGGCGATGCTTGCACGAACGAGTGGAGGTACCTGAACTTCGACCCCGAGAATGAAACCGACAAGGCCCACCTAGAGCTGCTTCACAACATCCTCTGCATTGGTGAAATGTTGGCCATCACTAGCTATGGAGCGGGTGCAGCGGAAAGTGCTCTTATGCCGTATTTGCGTCATTTTGCGGTCAACGAGGAGCAGGACGATCCTGACGAGAGACCTGACGAGTACCACTTCCAGGACCACGTTAAGAATGTCTTGAACCGGCTCGCTGGTGATGGTCAGAACAATGTCAAACTTGGGGAAGTCGTGGGAAGCTTTGTTGTCGACAACAAAGGTAAGCTTGACTCGAGTGCTTTACGGTGACAGTATTCTAATGCACATTTTAGACTTTGGTGCAGACATTCCAAACGCATCTAACTGCGATGGAGATACTTACGCGTACACCCTGGTCGACGAACCAGTCGATCAACGGGAGAAGATCCATTTCTGTGACATAACCTGGACGGGTCGTTTGGAAAGCATTGCGGACATTGACTGTGATGCTCTTGACCCCTATCCCAGCGTAAAAATGGACAGTATCTCCCGTATCATCCTCCACGAATGGACACACTACAGTTCCGTAGGTCCAGAAACTTCTTTGATGGACACGATTCAGGACAGGGTCAACGGGGATGGGTTTTCTGCCTATGAGCCTGAGCGAACCCATGGTCTCATCGACCCTGACCAGGACGACGACCCGGTCGGTGCATCCCTTAACGCCGACAACTATGCATGGATGGCCTTGGATGCATACGTTAGTCGCATCTGCGCTACGGATCCTAGTGGTGACAACTGGCAGACATTCTTCACTGAGAGTAAGTTTGTTGGCACATAAAGACTGCTGTGTCGTACATATATTAATTGTGCGTAGATCCTCCCGACTACGAGCGCGAAGATGACTCCGACCCTGAGACCCCACCTTCCTCGGGGGCTTAGATATCACCAGATGTAACAATGGACGGCCGTAATAGCGTGTTGAAGAGATAGTTACGGGTTGCGCTGCTTTTGAATACATACGTCTGCGTCTCATGTACTTTTTCTTACGTTCTTTGCACGTACACACTTAGATTAGCAAGTCAGACTATTACCAGTATCATCTAAATACAATATACGACTTCAATGCCATTATAGTTTCAATCTTACCAGTGATAATAATATGAAACTAGGTTCATGTCACCGATCCTTAGCGGGTCTTGTCATTGGTTGCTCTTCCCATGGCGTGCACAAGTTTCCAAACGTTCCCGCAGAACAAGGCGGGATGAATACACTAATCTTGGGCTAAACAACTTGTACCAACAGATGTTACTATATGGATGAACGGAAGTGACTTGAGTAAGGGTTGCAAGGGCGGTGGTGCGGACACGCAACTGGGCCAGCTGAGAACCTTGGGCATGACGTCATCGCGCACCAAACACCACGGGCTAACTCATGTGATTTTCCTTGGTTGCGCGGCTGGGGTATGATCAAGGTTGGAGGTAGCCGAAATGAATTTAAGCGCCTTTGGGAATCCTCCATCTACTATTGATCTTGATTTGCCATTATTACTCTAAGGAGGTGTATCCGGCAACGAAGGACTGGGTCCTAACGTACCTCAACTACTCAAACGCGTCTCCCCAACATCAACATCAGTACTACCACGCCCTCTTCGCCATGTCGATCACATCATTTGACACTGCACCCGGAAGAGGCGGATTCCTGACATTCAACTCCTCTCCTCCACGCATCTACCTCACAAGCACGTATCCAGCTCCAGAAAAAGCGCTCCTAGCTTGGCAAGAAGAAGGCTACGATGCACAATTCCTTCCTTACGAACCGCGCAAGCAATCCCAAACCGAATACGTCAACACTATCCGAAAGCTCACAGAAACATGCCAGCTCGGCGAGCATTACGCGATAATTGCGTATGGCGAGGCCGCCAGCCTTGTCCTCAAAACAGCACAGAAACCACTGGCGAAATGCTGTGCAATTGTCGCTTTCTACCCGACACTTCTACCCAGTCCAAAAACAATGTATCCGCGATCGCACCAACTGCAGGTTCACGTTGCATGCTTAAGTCAAGCCAGCGCCAGACCAGAGATGTGCGAGTGGAAGCTGTATCGGTATGAGAGGTGTGCTTCAGGATTTCTGGATCCATCATCCCCGGCGTACTCGGAAGTAGAAGCCAATCTAGCCTGGACCAGGGCGCTAGCGAGTATCCGCAAAGGGTTCGGAAAGAATGTCGATCTGGAGCCCATTGCGATTGCGCATTGGAACGCACGTTTTGAAGACGATGACCCAGATCGAGCGAGCATGGCTGTGGCCAAGAATATGACGCAGGATAGCCCGCATGTTACTATTCTTCCCACAATGGAAGGCGGTGTGGGAAGAAAGAAGCTGGCTGAGTTTTACGGGGAATTCTTCGTACCGAGCTTGGTCCCGGATTTCGATATACGCCTGATTTCGCGGACCATGGGCGTTAATCGTATTGTGGATGAGATGGTGGTGTCTTTTACGCACTCGGATGAAATCGATTGGATACTGCCTGGTGTGCCACCGACAAATAAGCATGTCGAAATACCTATGGTTAGTATAGTGGCTGTACGAGGAGACAAGCTCGTTTCGGAACACATGTATTGGGACCAGGCTTCTGTTCTGGTGCAAATTGGACTACTGGATCCAAAGGCCGTTCCCAAGAAGCAGAAGAGCGATGGATTGAAGGCAATGCCTGTCACAGGGGCAGAGGCAGCAAAACAGTTGGCGGAGCCACAACAGGGCCGGTATAACAAGTTGTTACAACTACACGGCCTGATGAATGGAATAAATGGTAACTAATGGCCCCTTTTTACTGTTTACAGCGTGGTGTTTTGGAGTAAAGGATGGCAAAATCTCTATTTCGAAATTGGGAAACCATATCTGGTTATGTTGATCATTAATGAATCAATGTCAAATATTTTTTGTTTCATTATGTCTTTCTCCTATGTACTTAAGCGCGTGACCTGTCCATCATCCAATGAAGCTGCAGGTCGGGAGCTTATAATCCTTCAATACCCAATACTTCCTTCTGACACCCTCCCACTCACCCTTCTCATCAAGATCCGGTACAGGGACAGTCTCCCATTCCGTATCGAACCCAGCCTCGAAGAGATCAAATTCCACAATCTTGGTGTACACGTCATATACAATCTGTCGATCGGCCCCCATACCATTGAAGAAGCCAAACTTTCCGCCTTCGCCATCTGCACCTCCTGCCGGATCGAGCAATCCGATAACGTATTCAGTGAAAAACTCGCGCAGGGCCTTATACTCTTCAGCGAACGTGTCGAAGTAGATGGCATCGAATAGGTCGCCCTTTTCCACGAGACCGGGAACAATATCTTGCCATCGACCTTCGTGAATCACGACTCCAGGCTTCTCATGCCATCCTTGTTCTTTCATCCGTTTGACCACGTCTGGGTGTGCCTCGATGATGTGATGACTTATTGGCTTCTTTTCTTGGAAAATTCCATCGATGATGCCCATGCCGTGACCTACATTGAGAACCCGGAGACCTTCTTTGGGTGCTAGGAGTTCGGCAGATTTGCGCATCAAGGTCGTTTCCCATTCCATCATGACGCCGTTCCCCGAATCGTCCAGCAGTCGGTCGCGATTGAATGTGAGTTTCGAAGCAAGATAGTTTGGATTCTCGGTCGATTCATCGCCTTGCGTATCTTCCTGAACCTTCTCTACTGTTTCTGCCCCTTCTTCCACTTCTTTTACTTGAGGTTCTTCTTGTGCGTCTTCCTCCTCATCTTCTTCGTCCGAATCATCGTCTCCAAGAGGTTGGTATTGCTCTAAACGATTCAGCAGCATTTCTGCACGAACGCCAGCGTCTACACATAGATCATATAGCTCCTTCAAGCCGAGTCTATGCGCTATACATCCTGGTGTTTCACCATTTGAATCCAAGTCATTCCATATCGCGCCGTTTTCGAAAAGGAATTTGATTGTCTTCACGGCGCTATCCATTTCTCCAGATTCCACAGACGCATTGCCTGCGTCTCCATTTGAGTTACCATTGGTTTGCTTCGCATCATCCTCATCGGGTTCGCAAGCAGCAATTGCGGCGTGTAGAGGTGTGAAGCCTGTCTCAGAATCTTGTACATTGGCAGAAGAATTTCGGAGGAGGTTGCGGAGCGATGCAGTATCGTGGTTCGCGGCAGCAAGTAGTATGCTTTGTGTTTGTAGATCGGTCTCGGTATCGAATGCTGGGTCGTCCATACTGCGTATTGTTGTTTTGTGAATGTCAATCTTGAAGAATGCGTTGAGGGGTCGCAAGTGGAGGGGCTAGGAAATTTATTGGCGCGAGTCATGCAGGGTCCAGAATGAAAACTGGTGGATGTCAATGTCACGCTCCAAACCTTTAGTGTGTCAATCTAATAGGAACTTGGTAGGTGACAGCTCAAGATACTATACAGCTACCGCAAATCCATTAGCTGTAACATATCCAGCTACACAGTGATTTAGTAAAATCTCTCTATATAACAATTCAGAAATGATACTCGAGCCCAAAGAGATTCGGAGACTTTCACAGCATAATCACTTGATTGTGCTACAACATAACTGCAACAGTGTCTCTGGTTGCTCGAAATCCATACACAAAGCAGTTTGAACGTTCATCTTCATACCTAGGTATTCACTTTGGATTTGTATTATCTCTGTTTTCAGACGACTCACAGTCGTACGTGTGTAGAGCCTCGAAATAAGTTTAGTTGCGGATAAGCCCAACAGAATCAATAGAAAGGCTCAAACCACTTGAAACGACAATATCGGTAAGCTTTCGACACGGCTCATGCCACTTCCACCCACCTTAACGCTAAATCATAATCAGGAACTCTTCCAAAGTATGCGAACTGTTGACCGCATTGACAGGAAATTCATTGTGCCATGCAGGCTCTCTGTAGACTCAAAGAGGAGGCCCTAGTGCGATTGTATCCAGGCCAACATCTGACCGAAAGCTTGTGCTTGCGACTGTTTGATCTTCGCATCCTCATAATCCCCAAAGACGGCGAAGCCATGAGGTACTCCAGAGAAGACTTGAATTTCGTGCTCAACCTTGTTCTTCTCCATAGCTCGCCGACCAGGTGTTAGCTCATCATCTTCTGAGAACATCGGATCATCTTTCACTGCAGCGATGTAGACTGGAGACTTGACGGCTTCGAGGTCCTCTTTGTATGTCATAGTTGGGTGTGCGACAGCGCCAGCGCGAAGCACGGGTTCTTTCTTCGTTGTTCCTTGCTCTTCATCCTTTGGAGTTTCTTGACCCCAGGCAACGGTATCAGGGAGTTCAGAGGCCAGCATGAGGATGTACTTTGCGCCAAAGCAATAACCGACACCGTAGATGCCTCCACCATTCGCGACAGCATCAGCATATTCCTCTTTGGCGCCCTCAATGACCTTGTGCAGCAACGGGAGAACCTTCTCGGGAGTGTGGCGCGCAAGCCACATATCAATCATAAATGATTTTATGCCCTCCGCCGTTCTCAATTTGACAGCCTCAAGCCAAGAAGCATCCTGTGGGACCTCATCCATGCTGACGCTGTTTGGTGCTGGATCGTTATCGAATTGATCAGGCATTACGACCAAGTACCCTTCCGCAGCAAACTTGTCGGCTTGTAGTTGATTGTTGGTAGACTTGACGCCGGTACCACCCGTGAGCATAAGCAGGAGTTTCGAGGGCGAATGCGGGTAGTCGGCAGGCTTAGCAATATAGCATTCGACACCACCGAGCTTCGTCAGATCACCTGTGGGTTTCTCGCCGGCGGGGGTAGGGCGATCTGTTGTGCAGTGTTCCTAGTCAATCAGTACTCATAACCCAGAACGGACGGTTGTAAAGACGGTTCGAATATAGAGCAGACACTAGAGACCAGGGAATGCGCTATATCCGCAGCCATGATGGACATATGTAGTCTACTGTTACGGGACATAGCGAATCAACTTACACCCATGCTTGGTCCATCTTGTGCTCTAGTGTCTCCAGGAAAGACGCTCTCTGGCGCTGGCTCCGGGACCTTGGCTTCTGCGTGAGGCGTCTGCTGTTGAGTATCTTGCTGCGCATCGCTCTCGGGCGCACGTGTAGCAATGTCGTTGTCTGCCATAGCGTTTGTATGTATGTATGCAATGGTTGGAGGAAATCTGGTGTTGATGAGCTGCAAGTATTCACAAATGGTCCAGGTGCTAGCCGGCCACTTACGTAGCCCCGCCCTGCCACACTTCACATCTGGCTAGAGCGGGGCTACATAGTCACATGATCCGACGCGTCGACGCGCTTTCTGATCTTCGCTATACCGCCACCGACACGCAATTAGCACAACGCCATCACAACACCCATACACTGTAGTCAAAATGGCAGAGGGAGCAATCACCCAAGGCGCTATCCAGTGAGTCTTCATGCTCAGCATAATTGGAGCCATGCTAACTCCACCCAGGAGCATCTTTCAGCCGAGCGGTTGCTTCGTGGAGCACCCAGTACTGCAATGCGTGCAGATCAAGACCATGGAGCCCAAGGCGGGCGAGGCAAATCCCGTACAGCGCTTTCGGGTTGTGTTGAGTGATATTCGGAACTTTATTCAGACCATGATCGCCACCAGTCAGTCAATCATCATATTCGTAGAGTTGCAAATATAGCTAATCGTGTACAGCTGCCAACGAGATTGTCACTTCTGGTCAGCTCAAGAAGGGATCGATTGTACGACTTCTCAAGTACAATCCTCAACGTGTCAAGGATAAGAAGTATGTGTCTTTATGGTGTTTATCTAGCGGTTGCCTAACACATGGACAGCATCCTAATCATCATGGAACTAGAAGTTCTTTCGCAGTACGGCGAACTTGACAAGATTGGGCAGCCTGAGGCTCTAGATACCAAGCCTGCCGATGCGCAGCCTGCCGCTATCCCCGGCAATAATTTCTACGGATCGAAGCCTGCGCCTGCCCCGCAACCTCAGCGCTCGCTGCCTACTCATCAGAGTAACCCTGGGACTTCTTCACACCCTCATCTTTATCCTATCGAATCTCTTTCGCCCTACGCCCACAAGTGGACCATTCGAGCACGATGCACCCACAAGAGCGACATGAAGGAATGGCACAACCAGAAGGGAACGGGCAAACTTTTCAGCGTAAATTTGCTGGATGACACTGGCGAAATTCGAGCGACAGCTTTCACCGAAGTCGCTGATAAACTGTTCCCAGTATTTGAAGAGGGTGTTGTGTACTACATCTCTGCACCCTGCAGAGTAACGCTTGCGAAGAAAAACTTCTCAAACTTGCCCAACGACTATGAGCTGCAGTTTGAGCGTGACACTGAGGTCGAAAAGGCAGAGGATCAGGACAACAAGCCACAGATTCGATTCAACTTCACCAAGATTGGCGATCTTACCTCGGTTGAAAAGGACACAACCATCGACACGATTGGTGTATTGAAGGAAGTTGCTGAGGTTACTACAATAACTTCAAAGAATACCAACAAAGACTTCAGCAAGCGAGAACTGACACTAGCCGATGACAGTCAAACATCTGTGCGACTCACCATCTGGGGCAAGACTGCAGAGAGCTTCGATGTACCGCTGGAGTCGATTGTTGCTTTCAAGGGAGTAAAAGTCTCCGACTTTGGCGGCCGAAGTCTGAGTCTGTTGAGCTCCGGTTCAATGATGGTCGATCCAGACATTGATGAGGCTCACAAGTTACGAGGATGGTTCAATGCTGTTGGACAGAGTGCTACCTTCTCTACGCATCAGAACATGGTGTCTACTACTGGCGGTTCCAAGAACGACGCAAAGCCAATTTCGGCTATCATCGAGGAAGAGGCCTATCTCCAAGATACCCCCTCATACATGAGCCTTCGTGCATCGGTCCTTTACGTCAAAGATTCGACTTTCGCATATCCTGCGTGTTCGACACAAGGCTGTAACAAGAAAGTCATTGAAGAAAACCCTGGGTCTTGGTGGTGTGAGAAGTGCCAGGCTGCTTTCCCTGAGCCCAATTACCGCTATGTGCTCAGCGCCAACGTTGGGGACCACACCGGCACGTTATGGCTCAGTTGCTTTGACGAAGCGGGTCAAACAATCGTTGGCGTGTCAGCAAACGAAGCCATGAAGATGAAGATGGATGACGAAGAAAATGGTTCGAGAAACTTTACGAATCTCATGCAGGAAGCGACCTGTAAGACCTTCAACTTCCGAGTACGTGCGAAGATGGAGACGTACCAGGACCAACCCAAGTAAGTTTCGCCACCACATCAGAGTAGTGCAGTGCTGACGAACTATCAGGCCACGATATCAAGTCATGAACATATACCCACTCAACTTCGCCCAGGAGGCCAATAAGCTCGCCCAGCTTATCAAGCAATACAACATGAACGAGGATAGTTTGTTTGTCAGCTAAGAGCAAATTGGGAAGATATGATCGTCTTCAGTTATGCTCTACAATGTGTGGAATTTCAGAAGTCCCTGGCCTCATACGTGTTTATTCTTGAACACGCACCAGCAAAGCTGATTGTATGATACAAAAATACACAATCAAGTGCCTCTCTCCCGTTGCCTATGTTGTCCGGTACAATGCACCCCACTATAGCTGCTAGCTCCATGAGTCGTGGAGCTGCCCCGCTCAGACGTCATTACCAATCATTTCGGTAGCGGACGGAATGATTTCGGAAACAGGAGCAAGTACATATTCTAGCTCTTGTTTGGTGCAGCTCAATCGTGTGATTTGCGTCTTGAACACTGTAGTTCTTGCTTGTATTCTAAATAAGATAATCGGCACAACCAAGCTCCACCAAAATGAGTGACACAATGCGCGCAGTCGGTCCGTACACACTTCCATGCATCCCAGAATGTTACTTTACTAAGAGTCCTCAGACATCAAGAATGGCAAAGGTCCACTCGAGAATCTGCACATCGCCGACGTGCCCAAGCCGAAACTTGGAAAATCGCAAGCGCTTGTCAAGATCAAGGCCTTCGGCCTGAACCGCATGGATTTGCTGCAGCGTGAGGGCCAATACCCTGTACCGCCTGGTGCTTCCAAAATCCTAGGTGTTGAGTTTTCGGGTACAATCGCGGAACTCAGCGAAGAAGGCGGTGGAAAAGAAGGCTTCAAGGAGGGAGATGAAGTGTTTGGCCTGGCATATGGAGGTGCTTACGCAGAGTACATCGCAGTCTCAACACATATGTTGGTGAGGAAACCAAAGGAGTTGACTTGGGAGCAATGTGCTGGAATTCCCGAGGTAGGTTCATCCCGCTTGTAGAAGGGAGGTTGATGAACTGACGTATGAACTACAGACATGGATAACAGCCACCCAAGCCATGTACCTGATCGGCCAATTCAGTGCCGGAAAGTCCATCCTCTGGCACGCAGCAGCGTCATCCGTCTCAATTTCCGGTATTCAACTCTCCTGTGCCGATAACGCCTCTGCCGTCTATGCCACCGCCCGTCAGGATTCCAAATGCGAGTTTGCCGTGAAGGAGCTGGGCGCTACCGCTGCATTCAATACCACTTCTCAGAACTGGGTCGAAGAGGTGATGAAAGCAACCGATAACAAGGGTGTAGACATCATCGTCGATTTCATCGGCGCATCATACTTCCAGCAGAACCTCGAGGCTGTAGCCAAGGACGGTATCATCGTGAACCTAGGTTTCATGGGTGGTACCAAATTGCCAGAGGGAACGGATATCAGCGCATTCATTAGGAAGAGGTGTAGCTATGTCGGCAGCAGTCTGAGGAGTCGTGATGAAGCGTACCAGGGCAAGCTCAGAGACCAACTCGTAGAGCATGCATTGCCGAAGATGACGGATGGCACATTCAAGCTCTATATAGAAAAGGTTCTGCCATGGGAGCAGATCCAAGATGCGCAAAGGTTGTTGGAGGAAAACAAGACAAAGGGTAAGGTCATCTGTACCATTGGCTGAATTTGGAACAGAGGGTATCACACTGCATATCGGAAAACAATACTTAATTTGATCTACATACCATTATGCCAGACACGCAGCACTGATGATGCCGCAAAGAGCCAGCCTAAAGCTGAGTATAGATTCACCGTACCACAACACAAACAAAAATGAAAATTACACACATGCATCTCATGAACCAAGGCCTAGAATGAGACCGAGCAAAAAGACATGGCAAAAAAGACGACGTTGGCCAGATTCGAACTGACGCTCCCGAAGGAACAAGATTTCTAGTCTTGCGCGATAACCACTCCGCCACAACGCCTGAGACCGACACCTGTGTGATTCGAACACACGCTCCCGAAGGAACTGGCTAACTTCCCTCAATACAGAGGACTAGCAGGCCAGCGCGTTAACCACTCCGCCAAAGTGCCTGCGTGATTGTGTCAATTGATGAAGAAAATTGGCGCTGCAAAATATATATACTACACAGAGATAGCCATCAAGATTGAAGTAGACACGGGATATGTACCAATATTTTCCAGATTGTGGATGAGAAATGTGGACCTCTGTGGTGGGGCTAATGTGTCTGTAGAAAGCTGGAAGTGCGGGGTTCGTATGTAAGGTCGGGTTGAACTTGATGATTCTTGAAGTGAGTTACTTTCTGTGGCAACGTCTCATTCCACGCCAAACATCCATGAACCGTTTGGTTTCTACAAGAATCTTCCTATTTTGATACTTACGATACCCTTTGCTTATAACAAGCAAAGAAGGCAAGGTGCTGCTGAGACTATCCAAACTATGTTCAACTAATGCGTGAACTTCGTGGCCATATTAGCTCGGTGTGAATAGTAAATGTCAATATGCGCAAGGGTGAGGAAGGATTGATGAATGAATGACAGTATCGCATAGTTTTAATTAACACTAGAATGTGAAACAAAGAAGACGAAGACTCTGGTTAATCGCGCTAAGTGAATGATCAGGGACCAAAAAAACGGACCAAGTACTTCCTAGCACCTTCAATATCTAGTTGAGTATAGTTGTATTACTACTAGTGACCAAACTTTCACATGCCACCGACTTTGAAACGGTCAGCAGGCTAGTATGAGACGCTCAGCAGAGCCTCTATGGGCAGGTAGTCAGACCAGACCTAGCAGGGCGAGAAATGATGTGTACATTTCTTTTGTGCATATGCAGAATATCTCATGCCGTCACCCGTTGGCCCGGAGCAACATCTGTGGTGATGACGTCCGTGCGGGCGGGGTAGCATTTTTGACGCCTCAATATCCATCAACGTGGGTTTTTCAAATCAAAAAGCCCTACACGGTACTGGTAGCGCCCTCGACTCACGTGGATGATGCTCCATGCTCACAAGGTGGGTTGCGGGTGTTCGGCCGCGATCTGCCTCGGCTCGCCAAATGGCCAGCCGAGCCCTGGACCGACGTAGGCCCAGCTCCGACGTAGTGTTGGAACTGCTCACATGCTGAAATTAAATTCGCTCTCTCCCTCACTGCGCATATTCCCATTTCTCAAAATTGCTGTGGGAGCGATCGCATAGCTCACAGTTTGCTTGAGCCATCTTCTTTCCGTCTTCAAACCACCTCTAGCAAATACAATCATTACTCGGACCATTTGACAACGCCCCACCAAAGCCTCCCACCAACATGTCAAGCACCGCAGACGCCGTTATCGAGAAGCTACCTTCCAAAGCGGAGCTCAAAGAAGATGCTAAAGTGGCGACCAAGTCTTCGCTTCAGTCGCTACGAGCGCTGATAGCTGGAGGCGTGGGAGGTGTTTGCGCCGTCATCGTGGGACACCCCTTCGACCTGGTGAAGGTGCGCATGCAAACAGCGGAGAAGGGCGTATACAGCGGAGCTATGGACGTTGTGAAGAAGACAATAGCAAAGGAAGGTGTGGCTAGGGGTCTATATGCGGGTGTTTCTGCGCCTCTTGTCGGTGTTACACCAATGTGTAAGTACTTAGAAAGCCAGCTGGTCCAAGGATGGTTTTTGGAACAACAAGGCTGACGCTGAACAGTTGCCGTCTCATTTTGGGGCTACGATCTCGGCAAGCAGCTTGTATCTAGTGTCTCAAAGGTTGAGAACAACCAGTACAGCGTCGCTCAGGTCTCCGCCGCCGGCTTCTTCAGCGCAATCCCCATGACAATCATTACCGCACCCTTTGAGCGCGTGAAAGTGCTTCTACAGATCCAAGGTCAAAAACAGCTGGCACCTGGTGAGAAGCCCAAATACTCTGGCGGACTCGATGTTGTGCGGCAACTCTACAAGGAGGGTGGTATCCGCTCAGTCTACCGTGGTTCTGCCATGACACTGGCGCGTGATGGACCAGGCTCAGCTCTGTATTTCGCGACATACGAAATTGTCAAGCGCAACCTCACACCAAAGGATCCAGTTACAGGGCAGCCTGGTTCATTGAGTATGGGTGCCGTAATGGTCGCTGGTGGTGCTGCAGGTATTGCCATGTGGATACCAGTGTTCCCAGTTGACACCATCAAGTCCCGCCTGCAAAGTGCAGAAGGCCGACCAACAATTAGCGGAACTATCAAAGGCATTCACGCAAGTGGTGGCCTCAAAGCTTTCTTCCCTGGTATCGGACCCGCCATGGCACGAGCAGTACCTGCAAATGCGGCTACATTTGCTGGCGTAGAGCTGGCACAGAAAGCAATGACGAAGATGTTCGACCAAGACGTCGAATGAAAGCCCCCGTGCACTCCGAAATGTATCCTCTACGACGGACATTTTATTTTCCGATTACAGTCATATTTTATTGATATCAACACGTTGGTGGCATTGCAATGGCGTTTTTAGATTCGCCGCAACACATAGCTATAGAGCAGGGGGGTTTCTAGATGAATTCTTCTCTACGTGTCTCCAATAAGAACTATTATTATCCACTACCACCGTTTCTTACCTCTGTGCTCTACCTCTGGTGTGCTCGACGCACGCGCTGACCTCAACAAGGGAGACAAATAGAACGCAGGCGCAACTACAGCCGTAACTTGGTTCATATTCGTATGTTCGCGCGACTGTCCTTTGTTCTATACACTTCCTACCGAGCTCTACAAAGCACCCACTACCGTAATGCGCCAATATACCTCGACTCTTGCTTTGTTCTGTGTCAGTGCTTGTTTCCTTCTTTCATCACCTGTCTCATCACCACGTCTTGCACAGGTCGCCGAGCGATGATCAACTGGAAGGGATTTCCTGAATAAGGTTTCCGTGCGTTGGAAGTGAAAGACCTGGCTGACCTACGCGTTTAGTTACAAAAGTATGAAAACAACAATTGTGCAATTTTCCGTTGCTGAACACTCGTCCTCGCATGTCTCAAGCTTCAAATACGATCCAATGGTTCTATTGGTGTCGCCGCGTCACCCAAACGTGATTCAGACAATATCACACAAATTTCCGTCAGCGAGACTCTCTTCTAGTCCAGCATCATTACCACAAATAGTTGATCCCTTTCCTGCGAGACGAGGCTCTATACGCCTTGATATGAGCGACATTGTGAGCCTAGAGTTGGTACTTGGGGCTCGTGTCTCCGACAATTCATCCGACCAGGATTGGGAAGACAACGTCAGAAACATGATGCAAACATTTACACCCGACCAAATGGACTGGATAAAGCAAGGAGAAAGCAGGAAAAGAAATTCAATCTCATCACTGTCAAGCCCTACAAAAGCTTCCATACACAGGCCAGAGTCTAGTATCGAAGACGACCAAACGAACGTTGAGTGCGTACCGGGCTTCTTTGAGAACGAGGAGAGAGGTCCAAAAAGAGCAAGGAGGATATCTCTGCTCCGTCTAGATAAGGATACTGTACGCCTAGTACAGCATAGCCCGAGCATCGACAGCTCAAGACATTCAATTAGGAGCAACTATTTTGACTGCGTATCCTTAAACGGAGACAAGCAGACATCTCGTTTATATCTCGCCTCAAAAGATGAAGAGAACTCTCGTACTCTGTTACCACTAAGTCCGATACCTCAAAACTATCACAGACAAACTGCGTCCGAGAGTATGATGGCCGACTCAACCATCAACGCCCACATGGCAACCATGCATGCACTCGAGTCACGCAATCTCGATCTCCTGCCAGTGGCTTCCCATGGATTCACATACCTACAATCAGCTACTACTTCCGAATTTCCAAAGTCGTCGTCCTGCCCGAGTAGTCGTCGCACAACGTTGTCATCTGTACTGTTGGCCAATGGCGATCGCCTTGTTTATATACCATCTCGTTTTTCTGAGACACAGCATCCCTTTCCGACTAAGAATAAGCATAGAAAATCCAAGCCGCATACTCGACGAAGCTGTTCTTATCTTAGTGTCGACAACCGGGGGATAGATGAATACGCAAAGCTAAATGATATTACTATTAATAGAGAAGTCCAAACAACATTTGGCGACTGCAAAAGCAAATATATCCTTGGCCTTGTTGTCAATGAGGAGGAGCTTTTGCAAAGAAGCGGACTTGAAAGAAATATAAAATCACAGGGGTTGACTGGAAACAATTTTGGACCTGAGAGCGCTAGTGCTGAGAGTATGATCTGGCTAAGCTTGCGGAAATACGGCTGGATGAGGGACAGTGACGATGGAAAGAGGAGAAAAATAGTTCGCTTCGTCGTGCCGAACGTATCTTCACCCCATAACTCCAGCTATCCCGAGAAGACACAAATGCCGATTGGAGAGGCAACAGCATTCGACGACAAGCGTTTTGCAGAAGACCTCCAGGCTAGCTACCGTAAGCTAGCTGGATCTTGGTTCCTTCGTACATTCAGCGCTTACAGGCTATGTGCCGTACGCCTCAGTCAAACCAGTGTATGGAGCGGGGCTCAGACTCAGACGACTACAGAAGGATTGCTAGCAGCAGGAGATAGGATATGCATCTCTGAAGAAGCCAGACCTCCGCTGACAGAAGAAGGCTTGATGAAGCTACTGAGGAAGCCACAGATGGGGCAAGAAAGATATATGTGGGTTCACTGGGCGAGGCAGATTGCAGCATCAAACTCCGTTATGCAGACATATCCACATGTGAGGGACTCAAGCCGACTTCCACCGCCGACGATCATAACAATCGAATTCCTGCACACACCAAACACATTTCGCATTTTGATGGCACTCGCACTTTGTCTACTTGGTTGTATCACAGCAGTGTTAGTGTGTATCTTTATGAGTTCTGATAAGAGGGTGACTGAGGGACACACAAGCAAGCGCGTGGGGGATGGGGTCGGTATTGGTGTCCTGGTGTTAATGTTAGAAGGGGTGGGGTTTTGGACCTGGATCGTATTTAGTTAATGGGAAAGGGAGAGTGAACAGGGTATGAAGGTGTCGATGATTTGTACATAGGCAGGATTAGAGTAGTGATTGGTGAAGCACGAGCGGGCTAGCCCGATGCGTGTTAGCCAGGAACGTCCAAAAAGTCTCCCGACGCGCTTTGCCAAAGTTGAACATATTATCGCAAAGCCGCGACTTTTGAAAATATACCCATGGCTCCGATGGTCACGACCCGGCCTGGATATACCGTTTTCAACGACTTGCAGCGAAGGATGGGTATTTCTTCCTCACAACCTGTCCCTGCCTTAAGTCGCGATGTCAACGCTGGTGCCGGACCTTCCCCTAGTAGCCCGGAGTCCCAGTCCCGCTTTGCTAGTGAGTACACGAATCTTACGCGTGAAGAGACTATGTCTACTCAGCTTAATGTATTTTTTTTATACAAACACGCGCCTAATGCATTCAATGTATAGGCCCAGACATGGATGACGTAGCCGCATCTCAGCAGCTCATGGATGAGGGCGCGCGCGCCAACCCCACGTATGATGCCACTGAACAGCTTCCGCCGTCCGACGACGCTCACGACAAGCCCGCATCTGCGCGGAAAAAGCGCAAGAAGAACAAATTGAAGGCGACGCAGAAGAACCCCGAGACGTCATCTGCGAACACGCGGAATGCTGCCAGTCCACCTGCAACTCCAACATCCTCGCCATTTCCCTTCCCAGCGACCCAGCCAGAAGCCGAAGAGATCACTGGCCCAGTGTCAGGAAGCCTTCAGATGGTGCCGAGTACATCGCAAGCAATGCCTACAATTGACGTGCCTGATTCTCAGGTCGCCGCTATTCCCGTCCGCGCACCCGCTTCGCCGCCGAAATCGAGCTACATGGTGCCTTCCAGTGTCACCAAGACCAAGCGCACGTACAAGAAGAGCAGGCAATTGAAGAGAGATGAGATTGCTCAGGATGCTATTTTCGGTGAGACTGTGGACCAACTCGCAGACACAAACACAGGCACAGAAGACCCAATCTCGCCTTCGCACAAGACTTCTCAGCGCAAACGTCCACGAACCAGGGATATAGACGGAGGATCACCAGGAGCTGTAGACGCAACGCCTGCACCGGCTAAAAGGCGGAAGATTGGCACACCCAAGTCGGCAACTACCCTCCAAGATCTTATACAAACAAGCCCCAATGACGATGCCGATATACAGCAAACCAAAAAGACGAAACTGAAGCGAGTAAAGAAGCCACATACGCCTGTTGCAAAGATCAAGGACATCTATGATATCCCAGATGACGAAACAGAGCCTACTGACGGGGCTGGTGAAGCTCTTGCGCCATCTGCGAATAATGGATTTGGACAGTCTGGAGATAGAGAGGAAGGCGAACAGGTACAAGTAGCTTCGACTCAGAAGAGGCGTAGTGAAAAGAAGAAGAAGACAACGAGCAATGGCGATGTCTACGACTGGCATGCCTCGGTGCGCCAACCCGGCCAATTACCAAATGCATTACTCAACAACAAACAAGACGACGACATACTGATGCAAGATCCCATATATACTGATGACGACGACCCCCCATATGCTCCAGCTGAAAGGGAGGGAAATGGAAAGACACAAAAGAAGAGAAGCAAGGAAAAGGGGAAGGAGAAGGAGAAGGAGAAGAAAGTGCGGAAGAAAAAGCAGAAGAAAGGGAGTTTAGACGGCCCAGGTGTGATGAAGATTCGCAGAAACAATGGCAGCAGTATCAGTGGACTTTCGTCTGCTGAAAGGGCGCTCAATGCCTCTCGTGACCTCGGCCACCCTCCGGATCTGCGAACGAGTGGCGACTTCACCGAGGATGAAGAGGAACTAATTCGCCGAGCCATTATAGATTTTCAACAACGAAAGGGGTTGGACGTTTCTGAACTTGTTGAGATTATCCAATGGAACCAGTATGACCCCAGGTTTCACCGTGATCCGGGTGTTAACCGGAATAAGAGTGATTGGACGCCTCAGGACCGCGAGGATGAGCGAGAGAGCACGGAATTCTGGGATGAAATCAAGAGCATTGCAATGACCCGGTCACATGACAGAATGAGGAGGCATATCCGTCGATTATATCACCAATTCAAGAGTGGCGCATGGACAGAAGAGGAGGACCAGCAGTTGCGAAATCTCCAGGCTGCTCATCCAAACCAATGGAAGCTCATCTCGATTACCATGGGCGACCGTTCGATGCACGACTGCGTGAACCGATGGCGCGACTACTTACAGTACGGCGAACAACGAAAGACAGCTCGCTGGACTGAAGAAGAAGAGAATCTTCTCATCCGTGCTGTGACGACGGTTGTGCAAAGAGATGAAGATCACCGTGCCGAGACAGGAAGGCCGCCACTGGACACGTACACCAACAAACACATTAGCTGGCCTCAAGTTGCTCGCGAAATGGGCAACTCTCGCAGCCGCATTCAGGCCTCGGTCAAATGGACTCAATTGATGAAGCGTGACAATCCACCGCAGATTGAGATAGAGTACAAGCCTAGAGCATCAACCGCGGCGTTGACTGATGCGCCCACTAAGAAGAAACGCAGGCAGAGTCAGAAGAAGAATGCAGTGGATAAGAATGCGTACAAATCTCAAGACATTATAGTGGATTCAGATGTGGAGGAGAGAGGAGAACCTGAGGAGGCTGAAGACGGACCAGAACCTGCGACAGGTGCTACAATGAGTAAGCAGCGTGGTCAGCCCGAGGAACCGTCTGACGAGACTCAAGACCAGGAACCTGAAGGGGACCTGGGCACGGACAATGGACCAGCTATTTCGCCGCCACTGGAGAAGAAGAAACGTGGACGACGACGGAAGAGCGAAGCGACGGAAGCTGATAAGCCTGAGGAAGTTAACGAACCAAGCACGGCAAGGGATGAGTCAGCAGACAGGGAAGCAGAGGAAGAGCGTGTTAGCGGTGAGCTAAGCGATTCACATTCTAAGATAAAGAAGAAGAAGAGGAAGAAACGATCGCGAAAAAGCGAGGTTGAGGAAGTTGACGAGGCTGAAGAAGGTCAAAGAGAAAAGGGGGATGTAGGGGAGAGTCGTGAAGAAGACGAAGATGGAACTCGACAAGATGAAGCTGGAGAAGTGCAAGTGCAAGAGGAGCAGGAGGAACAAGTGCAAGAAGAACAGGCCGAAGATGAGCAGGGGCAGGAGCAGGAGCAGGATGAAGCAGACGAAGAAGGGTCTGATGAAGCACAAGGCAGTGAGCAGAGCTCAGCAGAAGCTAAAGATGAATCGGTGGTTGGGCCGGCGGCGGCGTTGTCGGGCGAGGAGGCGGAGGACGTGTCTGAGCCGTCGGCCGGACCGGGTGTAGATCAGATGCTGTGGGGCGACAAGTACGATCTCATCTTCAAGCTCCAGGATCGCAGGGACGATTATGAAGAAGAGGTTGACTGGGAAGATGTGCGCAAAGACCAAGGGTACCCTTGGTCGACGGAAACACTCAAGGCAGCGCTACATGAGTTGATTGGGGTGATTGGCGAGCGTGGGCGAGAAGTGGACGCAGATGACTTTCCAGGGACGATTGACGATGTCATGGATTTCATAAGCGAAGAGCATGGTGCCGAGCTTGAGGAGCACTATCAACCCGCGTAGGGGAAGGGGTGCATTGGATGAAAGCGAATAAAGAGTTTGGTGTAGTCGGGTAGTGTGTGCTCTGTCTGAAGCATGGGGGGAGGGTGAGTGGGGATATTCTTGGGTGGTCCCTCCCGCATCCGGCGATGCCTGCTTGGGCCGTTTTCGCGCACATGGTAATGCCGCATACGAAGCCAATACGCCGCCTTGCCCTTGGCACCCGAAATGTAACATTGGGCCGCCGATTGAAGACGCACCTGGACATGGACAAAGTGCTAGAGAAGGACGGCGCCTTGGAACTGTACATATGTAATTTGCATCACGCGCAATACACAACACTCTAGTATATACAGACTTGGTACAACAGGGCTGGCTGGCGTAGCAGTAGAGCATAGCCATGGCCAGCCGAGTGAGGACCGTCGTGGGCTTAGTGGGGGCAAAAATAGATTTAAAGATGGAACCCTTTTTTTTCAAGGGTCACGAAGCGGTATCTCCACTTGGATGCTTTCATTGTTTATTGGATACTATTGGCTGCAGGCTGCACAAGCTATTGGAATCGTTGTGAGCGTGAGCATATATGTGAGGGTGTAGGCATGGATGTGCGGGCAAAGTGTATTTGGCAGTTGTTAGCATGCAAGCGGAAGGATCGGGAATGGGCACGGTGTGTGTGTGTGTGTGTGTGTGTGTGTGTATGTACAAGTACAACGGATGGTGCGGACTAAGGGTGAGGGATGAAATGGAGAGTGGTTGAAAAGTAGACGACGGAGGAAATACTCTACTCAGGTCTACTCTACCGTAGAGTGAAGCCTGGTGAATGGGGCATAGGCGGGTGGACAGTCGGGTGGGACTTGGCACATGTCACGCTGTTGCACTGCCAGCCTCGCCCGACGTGACCAATGCGGCGCCGACTTGGCCGTTGAACCGCCCGATTTGGCCGTTGCAAGCCATTCGCCATTCTATATCGATCATTGCCTATCCCGGCCCCCTCCATGACGTGCCACCGTCGCACGCCAGTCAGCCGTGGCAGTGGCCTCTCGTTGCGAGCACGAGCATGCTCATTGTCGTAGCATACAAGAGCCTGGCTTCATCCTGACCCGGCTTTGTTCCACCTGTGCTACCCTACCACTACCACCACCATTACTGCTGCCACCCCCCGCCCGCTTTCACTCCCCCACACCCGGCGGTGCTTCTCCATTCCCCTGCATCGCCCTGCTGCTGCGTTTGATCCTTCCTACGTATTGTAATCTGCCACTCGCTACTTGTCCCCGCCCGCGTTGCGTGTCACCTTGGCCTCGCCCTGCTACTACTACTCTCGCTTGCACATCGTCATTACCGCTACTTGACGGCACCCACTCTAGACAAATCAGCGTTCGCTCCCCACCTTCAAGGTCGCTTGCCACGCCACCCCCTCAACCACTCACCGTCCCGGGGCGATCACTTCAACGGCTGGTCCCTCTCCTCACTCGTTTGAAAGGTTCAAGGGTGCCACCTTGGTTCCTGAACTAAAGACGTCATTTTTTGAAACATTTACCCGCTCCTACTTGCCTCACACGACTCAACCCCCGATTTTTTAGCTACCGCCTAGTAGCTCGACTCGTACCCTTTGGAACATCTATCATCTGGTTACCGTTTGCGCTATATCGCCTGTCCATTGCGAACCTCTACCGTCGTCTCACTTCCACACAAATCCACAACCATGGAGCGAGTACGACCACGACCAGCGCCTCAACCAGATTGTCGTCGAATGTCCGTCTTTGCAGAGGTTGGCCTGGTGGACGAGCAGAAAATCCAGGAAGAGCGGAGTCCGGTGCGCGCACATGGTGAGGCTTTGAAGAGGTTACGACCAGTCAAGGTCTTGCGATTTAGAAGTCAGAACGACATTTTTGATGAAAGAACACAAAACGAGGACGACGATGAGGACGAATGGGAATCAGTGTACGATGAGGACGAGACCAACGACTCCATGTCTTCCATGACGGCCACCAAAACACAATCAGTCATGCCTGCGAGACTCTACCGATTGGGACTATTAAGTCTTTTACTAGCCCTGATGCTACCAATCATGCAGTTCAACCCACTCAAGCACATTGGTGTAAGAGCTGGCGCTGTTCCCGGAAACCGGATTGAAGCCAACATCCAACACTCATCGCTAATGAGGCGAGAAGATAGTCCTACTGATGCGTGTAGGCGATGGAGCGGCCAGAGTGCCATTGTCAATGGCACACTGTACATGTACGGTTTCCGTAGGACCACCGAGGCTCAACAAAAGGACAACACGTGGAGTATGTTCGCTTGATTCTGTCCATACCGTACTCGTTCCATGAGTCCAGTACTAACTCTCGACAGATAACGATTTTCTTACTCTCGACCTTACTGAGTCCTGGCAGATTAGTTCGCCCGCTCTCAAAGGCCTCCCAAAGCCTAACGGACCACCTGCTGTATCGCTTGGTCAGCTTTGGTCGTCTTTCGATTCTCTGTGGCTCTATGGCGGCCAATTTTCCGATACCCCTATCGTCCAGGCAGGAAACAACTCGATATGGGAATACAACATTGGAAGCCAGCAGTGGATCGAACATCCAGACCCAAAGACATCGGCTGGCGATAAATCAGAGGATGCTGGACAATCGGTGCAGCGCGTTGCCGAAGGCGCTGGTCTCACCGTCAGCACACTAGGCAGGGGATTCTATTTTGCTGGCCACCTCGACTTTCTCACAACTGAGGGATGGAGTAATCAGGTCGCAAGGGTTTACTTGAAGAGTCTGTTGGAGTTTACATTCCCTGGACACAGTAATGGTAATGTTGAATCTTTGGGTGATGGCAAGACTGCTGGATCTGACGGTGTGTTTCGCAACGTCACTTACGGTGGACTGCAAAACACAGCATCCTTCCCTGAGCGTGCCGATAGTGCCCTAGTCTATGTTCCCGGTTTCGGCAAGGAAGGCTTGTTGATTGGTGTTACCGGTGGTGACAATGCTACTTTTGTAAGTTCAATCGTACAACGGACGTACTGACTCAAGATTCTGACTATATATAGACGCAAATGAACACCATCGACGTCTACGATATCGCGACATCGACATGGTACAAACAAAGCACTTCGGGCAAAACACCAGAGTACCGTGTCAACCCCTGTACTGTTGTTGCGGCTGCTGCAGAGTGAGTTTTTTTTCCGATCGTATACGCTGATCGACTTGGGACTCTGTGCTAATCTTGATTTTTAGCGGCTCATCTTACAACATCTACATGTTTGCTGGTCAGGACCTAACCCCACCCGGTAACCAGAAGCAGCGAGACGACATGTGGATCCTGTCTGTTCCGTCGTTTACCTGGATTGAAGTCGATCAAGGTACCGAAAAGGCGAGTATCCCCCCACCTCGTGCTGGACATTTGTGTCATGCGTGGGATGGACAAATGATCGTCCTTGGAGGTTACAACACGAACCTTGGCTGCGATACGCCCGGTATCTACGTCTTTAATATGAGCAGTCTTAGCTGGAGCGACCAATTCACCGCCGTTACAGCAAAGAATGCGCTGCAAAGGTACAACAAGGACGACAAGGGCAGCACAGGTAATCCGCTTGCCCAGCAAATTAACCAGCGAGGTTTTGGCGTCGATGCTGGAGTCGAGGGATCCTATGGCTACGCCGTCCCTGAGCCAGTACGACAGGTTATCGGAGGTGGTCCCACTGGTGGTGCAACTCTCACTGCACCCCGTCAAACACCCACTCAAGGCCCCCTCGCAACAGGTAAACCGCAAACCTACACAGTGACAGGTCCCGACGGCGCAACCATCACCAACGTAATTAACGGAAACCCATCTTCCTCATCCCGCGACGGCCCCAACATCGGCGCCATCATTGCAGGCGTCATCGCAGGCGTCTTCTTCGTTGTAGCCGCCTACTTTGCCTTTTGCGCCTGGATCTACCGCCGCCAAGTTCAAATCTGGAAGAAGCACGCTGCCGTCATGCAGACACGCGCAAATGCCACGGCCGAGAAACACGGCACGTATACGTCGTCGTCTGGCAAACTCAGCTCCGAGCGTAACACTGGTACAGCAGGCGGAAGTAGCAGTGGCGGCGTAGCTGCGGGCTCTTTTGATAATGCGAGGAGAAACAGCGGTGATGGAACGGCGTATGGAGGTCCTGGAGCTGAGTGGGGACGACGAAACAGCGAGGGGAGCGTTATTGACGGGCTCTTGGATGTGCATGAGCCGACGTTTTGGGGTGCACGAGGTGTGCTGCTTAACCCGCGGAGGAGTCTGCGGGTTATTAATCGAGATTAAAGCCTTTTTTCTTAACCAGGAAGGGCTGGTATGTTTTTTGTTTTTCTCCTTACTCTCATGATTCCCACCTACTATTTCTTCTGCGATCTTCCTTGTCTCTAGCGAGAGTTCAGCTATGTTGGCGAGAAAAAGCTCATTTAATCACGATAATCACGGATAGTTAAAAAAGACACAGGTATGGGGATATACAGGTACATAATGCTACTACTAGTCATTAGTAAATAATGGAATACTATACACAATCATATCTTCGTTGACATCAACATCATTAATCACAGATATGGCTTTTGATTTTATACATGATAATCTCGCTCCCTTGCTGCAAGAATTCTTTTATGGGTCCAGATCGCGGTTAATGTTGTACTGTCGATAACCGAACCCGTCCATCGTGACCCAGTGACCCAGAGCTTCCAGTTCGTCCCAGATTTGTGGATATCGCTTCTTGATCCAGGCCTCGACTCGTGTTTGCTTCTCACCGTTGGCAGTGCAGTTGAACCAGCTACCTAGACTGTAGAATTATTAGCATTACTCTATAACGAAGGAGAGACAAGGGAAGGCTGTTGAATGTAGACTTACATTTGCAAATCCAGCTTGAAGCCATACTCCTCCTCGACAGTCTCTATAAGCGCCAAAGCCTCATCGTGGTTGTGGTTTCGTGTAATGGCCGACATGTAGGCGGTCCAAATGGCCTTGTCAATGTCAATATCCTGCTCTTTCAAGCGCGTCCAGATGGACCGCGCGTGCTCGGATCCAAGATGCATTCCCTCACACGCTCGAAACGCGATGAGGATGCTGTTGTATGAAGGACCCTCTTTTGATTCACAAATCTCCCTCCAGTATCGTAGCGCCTTGCGGTTCTCTCCCGTCGCCGCATAGGCGAGCATTAGGGAGTTGCGTAGCTTGGTGTCCATGTCCACGTTGAGATCTAGCTTCAGCTGGTTGTTTGCCAGTTCTAGCGACTCGGCATCCGCGCAACGAGCGAAGCCGGTAAAGGCGGCGACATAGACTTCTTTAGTTGCCGTGTGGGTTGGGCTGATGTGATTGCGCATGTGGAAGAAGACGTGACAAGCCATGTCGGAACGATTCCTAGCAAAGAAGTTGTTCATGATAGGTATCCGGTCTTCGCGGGGCGTTTCAGCAAAGACATTACGTAGGATCTGGTAGCCGTCCCAAGCATCTGCTGTGCTGGTTTCGCCGTCTAGTATAAAGACTGAAAGCGCATTTCGGATAATCTTTCGCTGGGCTGGTGCATACTGATGTGCGTGTACCTGCAGGAGGTCCATCGCATCTGGGATCTCGCCCCTCCGGAGATGCAGGAGAGTCACGGCTGCGACAGTTTCGGGGGCAAAGTTGGCCTTGCGCTCGTGTAGGTCGTCTACCATGGCCATCAACTCATCAAAGTGGTTTTGGTTTGATACACAGAGGGCCTGTATCAGCTGATTGATGGCTGCAACACTGCGATCAGCGCCTGAGAAGCAACCTTGAAGGTTGAAGTAGGCCGCCCTAGCTCCATCGATGTCTCCCACAGAGATTCGATATGCTATCTGCATAGTGTAGGTCGTTTCATCGGGAATGATGCCACGATTCTCACCAAGAACAATGTAGCGTTCGGCCAGGTAAGGGTCCGACTTTGACATACAATGTTCGACCAGCGTGTTGATGGTTTCGACATCTGGGCGGATGACAGGAATGCTGGGGTCTTTGCGGCGTGCCTCATCATTGCGACGGATTAGTACATCAATCATACGATTGATCTCGTCGGGCCCTTTGCCGATAGCTACCGACCATAGAAAGACAGCGTCCCAAGCTTCTTTGGTAGACATAGCATCTTTGAGCAGAGTGGCTACGACCTCCTGACCAAAGGTCAATTCGCCTTTTGAAGCGCAAACCCTCAGCAATGCAGAGCTTGTCTTTCCCGAGGGGGTCGCAGGATCACCAAGTTCGGAAAAGACAGGTCGGGAGTACCATGATTTGGCCTTTTCAAGATCGCCTTTCTCGGCATAATGTGCGACTAGCATGCGTTGTAATGGGCGGGTCAAGGGAATCGACAGGTCTTGTAGCATATTTACAGTCTTTGCTATTCCGCCTGCGTCATTTTGACCAAGAATGCTTTCAAGCACGGTCTGCCATGCATGGAGAGAAGCTAGTCGTACAGGAGCAGGTGCATTAGAATCGTAAACGAAGGCGCCGGCCGCAACCTGTCTCGCCTTGGCAGGAGCACCAAATAAGGACAGCAGGCGGACTTGGGAAAGCTTAATGTACATATCGAATGGAATATCGAGGTCTTTCCGGCTTGCATTGCCGTTCTTGTCTTGGCCGCCTTGGGTGGATTTTGCAAGCTCATCAATGAGCATCTGACCAAATGGAAGATGCCACTTGCCAACCGCATTCGGTCGCTTTTCCAGAAGCTGTTCAAGAATCGCCTGCATGTCTTTCCTAGTAAGCCAGGGCTGTCCATCGTCCTGTGGTGTTTCCTTCAGATACTGCAGCGCGTAGTGGGCGCTCGCCACATGAAAGTCCTCAAATTTTCCTTTGTACAAGGCAAAAAAATCACGGATCGCTTGGGCGACTTCGGCGGGTTTGGGCGGACGAATGGCATTCTCTTTTGCGAATGCCACCTCCGTCAGCTTCTCGAGGCCGGCGGGCAGCTCGGCAGGCTTCAGCTTCCTCTGTTGTTTGAAGAGATTGCCCAAGAAGGAGCGCCGCTGGGTATAGGATATCGATCGAGAGGCATTCTGGGTGGCTGTACGGGGGCGAAGAGGGCGATGGCGACATCCTCGATATAGCAGAGGCTCGTTTGCGATGAGATTGCGGAAGACGATGCGGGTCAATTGAGAAGGCATGGTGGCGATTAGACGGGTAAAAGCTCCATGGGACCAGCAGAGGACACGGGCAGAATATATATACCTACGAAAAAGACGTTGCGATCGTGGCCGCGGAGAGTAGGCGGGGGGCGAGGGGATGATGGCGGCGGCGAGTCTATGGTGTGGTGAAATCATACAACGCTAAGAAAGCAAACCTCCGACCGCCGACGAGGGCCGCATATCGAAAAGTCACGACAACGATAGCGACAGCGACACGGCGACAGCAGAAGCACCCACCAACATGTCTGTGATGCGGATATCATTGCGGTCAACGCTGGCAGTGGCAAGGACGGGCATGCGCTGCTTTTCGTCGGGCCCGCAGAAGCAAGGTGCGCCCTCAATTCCTTCACCATCATCATCATCGCCACCATATTCTCTCTAACACACGCCGCCCAGACGACCTTATGAGCATTCTCGGCCAGAGCGCAGCCGCCCGCCACCCCGCCAACATCTCCTCAACCAACAACACAGCCAATTCGCGCCCGGGAGAGTCTGCCGCCCTACGCTTTGCCCGCAATGTAGGCCTCGACCGCGCAGCCTCAAGCCCAAACCGTGAATTGGCCGAGTCGGAGCGCCTCTCCCAGTACCAGCGCCAGATATACCGCAAGTGGCAACCCGGTGATGTGTATGCGCCACATGACCTGAGCGGAACCGAGCAGAAGAAGTGGAAGCAGGGCCGCAAGAGGCCACAGGAGGACGCCTTCGACGTGCTTGGTGTCAATCCCGTCTTGGAGTACAAGGTGCGTTGGGAATATGGGCAGAATCAAGGCTACAGAGAACTAACAACTGGACGAGCAGAACTTCACCATCATGTCTGAGTACATGACCGAGATGGGCCGCATAAAGCACTCGAGGGACACCGGGCTGCGACCAAAAAACCAAAGAAAGATTGCAAAGGCGATACGGAGAGCAGTCGGCCTGGGCCTGATGCCCAGTGTGCACCGACATCCGCTTGTGCTCAAGAAGAGCAATCCCGCACGCTTCTTGTAAGAACATATAGGGCCTTGTACAATACAATCATGACATTAAGTTTTCAACTACCACTACCCATGCTAGTGACTGGTCCCATTCTCAGCAATCCATTGCGCAATCATCTCTTGCTGGGCCTTGACAATATCCATGGCATGATCATCATCATACAGACCATACCATCCAGGGCTTTCATGCGGCGGATCACCCGCCCAAACCATACCAAACTCATTCGCCTGCTGTGTCTCCGGACGATAAACGCCGCTATACGCCCATGGACATGTACCCACGTACGCACCCCCATTCCTAAACTCATCCATGACCGTCCCAATAATCGTCGTGAAATACGCATCCTTGTGCGTCGTCGGCGCACTGCTCAAATACGGATACTCCTTGTTCTTGTTAACCCAGTTATCGCGCGCCATGCCAAACTCCTCGAGGAAGACAGGCTTGCCGATATCCAGCGCCCAGCGACTCGAGTTCTTCATAAAGTCACGTGCAAATTGCTGCGAGGTAGCTAGATTTGCGTCGCTTTCCCCGTACATGTCGTATACACCCCAGTTTTGCACCCAGCAGTGCGTAGTGGCGTAAGATACTGTCGGGAAATCGTGCACGCGCTTGAAGTAGTACTCACCTTGCTTGGATTCGAGACCTACGCTGATGAGTTGGCGGGGTGATATGGAGTGAATGTAGCTGGATATGCGGTCCACCCAGGGAAATAGCAGGTCGTTGGGATTCGGCACGCTGAAAAGATTATATGGGCCTGTGTATCCTAGGATGTCGGAAGGCTGGGGCTCGTTGGCAAGCTGCCATGTCATGATTGCCGGGTCGTCGGTGTAAAGTAGTCCGGTGACGGTGTTGCGCCTACTCATGACTGTTTTGATATGGTCCTTGTACCACTGCTCTGCTTGCGTGTTGTTGTAGATCAGATTGGCATACGCAATAAACTCGTTGTACGATGCTGCATCCACACCTTGTTCGGTGTAATTTCCCCATCCTGTGCCGGGTACCTCGCGCTGAGGCTCCGCCGTCAGGTTCCAGCTTGGGGGGTACGGGATTTTGGTGTTGTTGGTCGCCCACGACACATACTGCGCGAAGCCGCCGCTCCATTGCCACTGATTGTTGAGTGTCATGGTAGCACGCATTCCACGCTTCGACATCTCAGCGAGGCAAATGTCGAGACCTTTGAAAATTTCTTCATTATACTCGCCAGGTGCCTCTTGTAGAGCCGGGCTCATCCGGAAGGGCTGCGGTGTCGGCGCACCTTCTGAACCCGCCATGATGCGCAGATGATTGACTCCATGAGCGGCCATCTGATCCAGTTCTGTAACCAGGCGCGAATAGTTGCCGCCTGCAGAATCACTTGCAGCAAGATTCATACATGCCCAGTAGTTCATTCCTGGATCCATATTAGAATATTCATCTTGGTCAAAGTAGAAAGAAAGAGAGCCTGCATACCGGTGAGATAGTAAAGTCCATCTTTATTGTACAACCTCGTTCCCTCAACATAAACAAAATCGTCATCTGCGATTGCAGACTCATGAGAAGTCTGCTCATTCCTTGGTAGCACCGACCCCGCAGCCAGCGAGGCCAAAAGCAGCTGCAAATAAGCCTTCATGTTGAAAAACCCACAGGTACAACAAACAGGAAGACGAGCTTGGCCAGGCACCTCAAAGCACCTTGACCCGAGCCTTTTATACCGCTTCTTCTCGACAAACCCACATCGACTGTAGTGCAACCGCACCCCCGGCCGTTGGGCCAGCGGCTAATCGTACATCAATACACTATTGACATCATGTGCGGAGAAAGATTTTCCGAAAAAGCAACTGGGTAAAATCCCGTTCCGTCCACTATGCTGCATACGCAGTTGGTAGTAGTAGTCGGGGCATGGTTCCTGAGGTGATACCATGCGGGGAAGCCGTTTTGGGCACGGAGGGACGATCTCCGTGCTAATGCTTCTGGTTAGTGGTGGCAAGGATATGTTCGGTTATATGCTATCCGCATTACGCTAAGCACTGGGTACGGTGAACTACTAACGTGCGATGGGAAGGTCGACATCAGGTTATTTCTTGGAATAAATATAATAGTCACCCCTGAGGTGTATTTGGGATCAATTTTCAATTACACTGAAGAGTCTGCATTCGCACATTTACGCATTTACATCCACCGCAAGAAAACTGAGAAACCCGAGACATTGTTCGACCGTCGTCTGACGGAGCGCACAGAATACATGGCATCATGTGTTTAGTAGATACGAAGAGCAAGGAAAAGACCACGGCAGAACCGGAAGGTAGCGGAGGATAACCAACTATTTCAAAATCGCATTGGTACTCTTCGAAGTCGCCACTTCATTGCCGTCATACACCGGTTCCCTCAGGAGGCTTCGGAACGAGCGCTTTCTCAATCCATGATGCTGTCACTAGACTTGATTTCGATGTAAATTCGACAATGCTTTTCGCCAAACACTTGTGCAGCAGGTCCAGGAGACAAAAAAGAGGAAGTAATCGAATTGGATATCATTTCATCTTTTCACCTCCAAACACAGTCCTGAAGGCTATCAAAGACTGCCCTCCTGCTTCTTCAGGCGCTCGAAAAGTTGAACAAAAGTAGCCGGATCCTGCGCCCCTGAAACCTCATACTGATCATTGATCGTAAAGTTTGGCACACCAGTAATATGCTGCTGCCTGGCTTGCTCCACCTCCCGATCAACTTCTGGTCCGCCTTTGCCAGACTCCAGCCACTCCTTGACCTCTTTCTCGTCAAGTCCAGCTTTAATGCCCGCCTCGGTAAGAACTTCATGGGTTGTGATGTCCTTTTCGTTCTCAAAGTACGCTGAAAAAAGCTCTTCGATTACACGCGTCTGGACCTGAGGCCCCTTGGTTTTCCCGAGCTGTACGAGACGATGCGAATCGCGCGTGTTTCCCGTATTACCGCCGTACTTGAAGTTGATGCCTTCCGCTTTGCCAATTTCCGTTAGGCGTTCTTGCATCATTTCTGTGCGCTCTTTTCCGAATTTGGAATAATACGCTTGCTGCTTGTTCATGCTTTTCCCGGCACTTGGGTTGAGGTAGAAGGGAAACCAAGATGTGGAGAAGGTGTCGTTGGAGTTGGGGTGTTTCTCCTTGTAAGCTGCAATGCCTTTTTCAAGGCGCTTCTTGCCCACGTAGCACCATGCTATGAACATATGGTTAGTTTTTGGATTTTATTGTGGATACAATAAAAACTTACGACACACGGTGTCGCTGACGATATTGACCTGGAAGTTGGTCATCCTGCGTAAACTTGCTCGAAACGCCACTGTGAAGTTATGAAAGACGTTGTATGCCGTTGCTGGAGTGATGTTATTGTTCCAGCGCGTGCTGGATTTTATACAAATATGTAGGGCGAATTGGAGGGTGAATATTGCTGACAAATGACATAGTGGTGTTGATGGAGCCTGCGGAATTTGCCTTTTCCAGTGGGTTCCGTGTTCCCGAGGTTATTCCCTCACGAAAAAACGCAATCACTCAACTTTTCCGACTCATGACACACATCAATACTGATTCTTACAATATTTCTGAGTTGCTTACCAAGTACTGGTTTGAGTGGAATTATTGTCAGTAATATAATCATATGGGTATGCAGCGACCACATGGGGACATGTGGCGGCACTACGACGCATATCAATTCTTTTGGTCATACACATCGATTAGACTTTAATTTCATCATTGTTCATTATAATGTCGTAAAAGCAACAGATTAAGGACCCAATAACACCTCGCTATGCAGAAATTCAACTTTTGCTCAGTCACCCTGAGCGTGCAGCAAACAACACAGCCCACTGCTATCCTCGCTTCAATTCTTCACGCCACTTCGCCCCACGAACCAGAATCAGGATAATGCCGGGGATGCAAAGCAGGTCCATGATACCGAGACCAGTAAACGCCCATCCCCATCCCATTCCATCTAGAATGCCGCCCATGATGGCGGCGCAGATTGCTGCGGCTACGTTGCGAAGAAATCCTCCCAGTGCCACCAAGCTGGCAGTTTGAGTAGGGTCACATTCCGTTTGGAACGAGGTGCTCGTTACAAACACTATAGAGACACCGACTGCTGCGAGCGCTGAGCCACAGAGGCCTAACGCTGGGTGTACATGGTTAAGCGTAAACCAACCAAACATCAATTTTCCAGCAGCCGCACAGAGGAATCCCGGAATCTGAATTGCAATTCGTCGTTCGGGTGCTACTTTTCCGTCTGGGCTGTTGGCTATGGCCTTCTTCCGCATATAGTCCGAAAGTCGCCCAACAACAATGGAAGCGAGGAACATGGCGATGCCGGGACAGAGGAAAGCATAGCCGACCTCGGCAGTCGTCCAATCGTAGCCTTCTTGCCAGATGGTAGGAAAGGAAATGTACATGCCATACAGACCAGAAAACTGAAAAGCCCCGTTGAAGCAGACAATCAGGTGCGGCGGGTACTTCAAGAGACGCATGAACTTGCGGAACGAGGGTCGGGGAACTTTGGGAACATTCATGTCGGTGCAAGGCTTGGTCCACAGCTTTGGCATCGATATCCAGGGTTGTTTGGCAACACTGGCGCCATTTCCGACTAGAGAACGCAGAGTTTCTGGCATGCAGAAGACGATGGCGAGGTACACCGGGAAGCTCGTGAGCGAGAGGAAGGCAAACACCCATCTCCACCGTGACTCCGTCGCAAATTGACCGCCAATCAGAGGTCCCAGGATCGGTCCAAGCTGAGGTCCCATGAGAAACCAAGCCAAAGCGGATGCACGGCTTGCAGGCTCAGTAATGTCGGCTACGGTACCAGCTCCAACGGAAAAGACGATGCACGATCCGAACGCTTGGAAGATACGGAGAATGTACAGTAGCCAGATGTAAGCTGGAAGCGTAGCGAGTAATGTGTTGGCGATGAGAAAGCTTCCGAGACCGACCATGTATACCGTCTTTCTGCCACCAACATCGGAAGCCGCTGCACCAAAGAGTGGCTAGTTGAAATTAGCAACATTTTACGAAGACCACTTTGGGGAACTTACTGCAATGGCAAACACAACCATGTATATCGAGACTGTTCCATTGATGGCAGCTTCTGAAGCGTTGAAGATTTTCTGGAAAAGTCTGAGTGAGGGCAGATAGACTGCTCCGCAAAGTGGACCAAAGAAGCCAGCTGCTGTAACAACACCCAGGATAAACCGTCTTCGATTGAGTGAGAATGCAGAGTAGGGCTGTGCGGGTGGTGGACAGGGTGCTAGAGGCACATCATCTGCGAACGATTGTTGTGCTTCCTCATCGACACTGTGTCGCGAAGAGGATCTGTCGCTTTCAATGCTGTCACGGCACTGGTCATAATGGTGCGACTTTTCGAACTCGATCGGCGATCGCATGGTGAAAGAAGATACAACAGTGGTAAATGTCTCTGACAGTATCAGAGATGTGCTGTCCTAGATGGGAGCATACCAGGACAGTAATATGTCTGGCCAAAATACCCAGCATAGCCACCATACTCGGAATAGCCTACATATTCATTTTGCGCTACGCAGCACTGCCAACCCCGACGCCCTACTATTCTGGGCCCATTTGTTGTGCTTCAGGTGAGCCTTTAGCATAGCCCCGCTTTCAGGTTCCTTCGCTAAGAACCGTAACCTTGCTCAAAGCGAGTATTTTCGTCTCGGCTGCGTTGAGCCCCCCCTATCACCAAAGCGATCTTTGGCTCCATCGCTAAGCGGGCCGCCATCTCAGCCCCCAAAATTATGGCAACGGTCTGCTACTAGGTAGATGTTCGACAATCACTGCTGCTTGTTGGTGTCGGTGGTCGTACAAGCTAGTTACATGCGTGTCCCTCCATACTCGAAATCTCTGGCTGCATTGTTTCCGTCTGAAAGGATGAGACTCTCTTTCACATTCACTTGGCATTGTACACTGTGAAAGAGTGGCTGGCTGAGCACGGTGGTGCCGTTTACCATCTCTGCATGGGGTCCTGGTTAAGCTTTGTCTCTATTCGATGACATGCGCGTATGATACCGCAGAGCTAACAAAACAGGTGTATTGGCTTACTAGCGCCAGACACGGGCGACCCGAGGGGCTGGGGGTTGACGTGAGGCTGAACTTCCTTAGCCCCACCCCGACTGGAAGGATTACTGGTAAACATGCACCCATACTGCGCCTTGCATACAACTCCACAAGACTACAATGTCATGTTACATACACAACCATATTCTTGGTCGTGGTTTAGCATGTGCCATCATATCGACCACGTAACCAAAATACTAGCACACTGCCCTGGCACAGAAACCAAACATGGCGGCATGGGCCCGCCTGGCCAGACAACATGGCGCATGCATGTGCATAAGAGTTGATACGACTGGGATAAGCGGTTGTGACATGTCACAAGATGGGATTCTTATCGACTCACAACGCTGCACCATGTCGTGGTCAAACCCAGTGGCCCAGATAAGTCGTCAGTCTGCAGCAGGCTCAGATACGAACACACCAATGGCTAGCAGCTGAGAAAGTTCAGCAAGCCATCATGCAGAAATCTTAGCGGCGGCTTGCATTGCTCGGCAACCGCTCTTCCTTTACTTTTGGCATTGTTCATTAACGCGAAGAGAAAAAGAACTTGCAGCTGATCGCGTCGCGTAGAGTCCGACTTCTGAGATTGGCTTGTAGTGAGGGGTCAATAGATATACACCTACAATGCCTACAAACTTGGTTTGTTCTTTCATATGCTACTGGTTCATCCAGTCTTTCTGTCTGTCTCTAGGCAAAGGGGATATGCGTGTGTCAGCAACGCACATTTGCAGATCCTTCTGATTAATGCCTCCTTTCCCACTCGGAAAGTTGACCGACAGCAACGCCATGTAGACTTCCACTGTTATCATGTATACGATCTTCGCAGTCTGGACCACTCTCGCGAGTGTACGAGCACCGACACTGCGAACTTTCCCAGTAACAGTCATAGAAACGTGTAGTCCTGTGACCCCTCCTTGCCCTAGCTTTTCAGCATTCCAAGGTACAGTCACCCGAATTTTACTGCCCCTTTGATTCTTCCTGTCCGTATCGTCCCAGAAGTAAACAGTCTCGGGAGAATAGGTCGTAAGCAAGTCACGTGTACAGATGGAACGCCTGACGTTAGGCGGCCACGTTAGCTGGAGACCATACAATTCCATGTTGTTATGCCGAAATTGCATTTGCTTACTTTGATTCCCACTTTTCTCTTGGGTATTTGACGTTAATTTGTTGCCGAACTCCACAGTAATCGGCGTCCTGATCTCAAATGCCGGGAAGGATTCACGGCGGACCGAATGTGACTCAATTATTTTTATTGTGTTTGCCTGGTTTTTTGCTCTATTCGGATTGTGTTGCAACAGTAGCAGTGCGAGTTGGTTTTTTGCATGTTGTGTTGGCTGGGCGTAATCCTTGTTTGCTTGTAGGCTGCTCGTAGACTCATAGCTCAAGGGAGTCTTGTTGACAAGGGAATAACCATAGCCAAAAAAAACCAAGTAGAAGCAGATGATAAGGAAATAAGACTGTATTTGATGCAGTATGTAATTTGAATTATCTGAATAAACTCCAAGCGCTATGCAAACCCTTCTCACGCCTTCTCTGATACCTGATGCACACTCTCAAACTTTAGCTTCAACCCCCGCGGGTACAACGGTCCCGCAGGTGTCATCCTGCCATCCCAAGTCTCGTCTAACTTCCACCTAACATCCCTCACCAACTGCACCAGTGTAATCCTCAATTGTTGCATGGCAAACTTCTGTCCTAAGCACGCTCTCCTTCCACCATGAAAGCTAATGAAAGCGCTCTTGGAGTTGGCACGGCGATACAACTTATTGATGTCCTCATTTGTGGTACCCCAACGTTCAGGCTTAAAGTCATCGGCATCAGTGCCCCAGAACTCTGTGTCTCGATTTGTAGAGTATGCGTTGTATCCCATGTATACGCCAGCAGGAACGGGAACCGCGTTGCCCAGAACGACGGGAGCTGTGGTGCGGCGATTTATAAGTTGTGAAATGGGCGGGAACATGCGTAGAGACTCGTACAGCACCGATGTGAGGAGGGGAAGATCGTGGACGTCGGAGTAGTCAGGTTCGTAGTCTGCAGGCGTGTTGCTTGGGTAGAGAGCGGCGATTTCTTTGCGGACAGCGTCTTGAACGTGGGTATGTTTGCCGAGGAGGTACATGAGCGACATAAGAGCTAGCTGGGGGTTTTCGTGCCCGGCGAGAAAGGTGCTGACCAAGTTGTCGTCGAGATCCTTGTCACTGAGGATGCCTTCGCGATGAGAACCAAGCAGTCTGCAGGCGACATTCCTGTTGTCGTTCTCGTTGCAAACATGCTGGGTGTGGCCCTTAGCTATGGCGCTACGAAGTGTGCCGCGAAACTGCCTGCTAAGAACACGACCAAGCTTTCGTATCTTCAATGGTAGGTGGTCGAGGAAAGGAAAGTTTAAGAAGATTGGGTGGAATATGATGGGCTTGATCTTCGTTTGCAGTGTGTGTAGAGGGGCACTTGCATTCTGCAATGTTTCGAAACTGGAACCATAAAGGACCTCTCCGAGGTTGGCAAGCGCATACCGGTGAAGTAAGGCGTAGACTGGAACTCCGTTGCCTCTGGTGTTTTTTGACTCGCTCAAGAACATGTCTTTGAGAATCCTGGAGTTTTTCCAGATGCTCTCAGAGTCCTGATCAGCTTGCAGAGCTGGCTTAATGACGCGCTGGTAAAGTTTCCATTTTTCGCCATGGGCGCTGATGATGTTTTCGCCTGTGTACTCAGCGAGTACGCTATGTGGGATCTTGACTTGGTTTCCCGACTTTGCGTAAGTGTCTTCTTGTTTGAAAATCTCTGCTACGTAGGCAGGCTTCGTCACCAGGATGTTCCACTGTCCACCAAAGAACAGCTTCACTGCGCCATATCGCGCTAGAGGCTCCTTGAGGTATTCTCGATATAGCTCGGATTGATCAACGTCCTTGAAAAGAGGCAGAAGCCCGTAGTAGAAAGGAATAGTTGGAATATCCTTGGGAAAGTTGCGAGGGGGTGTGAAAAGGTAAACGAAGAATGTGAATACACCAAAAATGGTAGCAAATGCTCCTACAAACACCAAAGAAAGATAGGAAACCATGGTGCTGAGATGATGCGCTCAGAAATGTAACACTCTTCGACTACTGCTTTGATAGAGCATATATGAAACCCATGAACAATGCGGCTACCATCTTCAGCCCTACATGGGGGCGGTGCTCTCTAACGAAGGCGGCTGAAGCGAAATGCGCGAATGCACAACCCCTGTGTATCTCTAAGCCCCATGCACCTACATTTAGACAATAGGGAGCTTCGGACGGTAAAGTTGGAGGCGTTGAACAAGGCTTGGCATTTTTTGGCCAATGGTTCGCAGTGTAACTAGCAAGGGTGAACATCCTCTTTCTCAGGCTTGCTGCCAAGGGCCGCTAACGTCTTTATGGGCCTGGGGGTCGTTGTAGCGCTGCCACGACCACTCAGCTCATGTCCATGCCGCATATTCACCAGCTGAATCCTACTGTAACACCTGCGCCCATACCGGACGGCTGGCCTTTGCCTACCGCTTCGCTCCAGCCGCCGCTACTAGCATCGCAGCGCATGCCAAGTGATGTATCCGGGGGGCACCGCAGGAGCAAAGCATGCAATAGTCCAGCGCACTGCCTCCCGATACGCCCGATGAAGCGGGGAATTTCTGGGCTGACTCTGTGTAGCGAGATTAGAAGCTACTGTAATTAGCGTTCCAGTCGGTGTGCGGAACGCACGATGGGTGGCTTGCCTAGATGCCATGCGCAGCACGCCGATTGAGCTTTGACAGTGTGGAGCAATGGCCTTTGCAATGCTTGGAAACATGCTTTGCATCTCTTTGATATATAGAAGCCAACAGGTTGGTATTATGGCATTTGAACATCCAACCTTCACAACAGTTTAGCCACTCAAGCCACTGGCATCTTCATTTTTTTTCCTTTGTCCAATTTCACCATCATCCTTACTTCAGCGGAAATTTCTAGTTACCTATCTTTAATCATTCACAATGGCGCCCCTTAACAAGTCCATCAACACCTATCACTGCATCCAAGGCCTGTACTGGAGAGATGCTTCAGGCGAACTCCTAGCTGTCGAAGGAAGCAATTCAAAATCGCTCCCAGAGATATGGACACAACTCAAAGATATTGTATGCTCCACTGACGCGTCGTGGACCCAACTTCAATTGCCCTCTGGCAAAGCCATCAAGACTCTTCAGATCAACGCCAGCATTCCAGCTCTTCTCAACATTCGCTCAAATTTCCCACCATCATATCAACAAGAAGAACTCAACACACAAGTGTCCGAGATCCAGCACGCAAATGGTCTGTTCTTGGGCATTCTTACATCCAGACCAAAGTCGGTCAAAGCCGATGGCTTTGGAGTATGGGCAGAGCGCTTCGTCCTCCTAGAGACCGAATTTCAACCATTTGCTCACATCTCGACATCAACTACACCATGGGCTCAAAAGCACCGCGAGACCTGTGCAGTCATTGCCGAAATTTTCGAGCGCAGACTCAAGAACGTCTCCAAGGATGACCAATGGCATGTATGCGGTAAAGAGGTGTTCTTGAACCGTGTCTACGGATATGTCGACAAGAACCTTCCAATCCAACTAGCCCTTCCTGCCTTTCCCTGCAAGTCGCCGAACCCTAACAAAGCTGGCGGCATCATGCCGGATCTGGCTGAACACATTGCCATGGATGCGCTTCACGCCTTTGTTCAAGAGGTGAACGGCGTGTATGCGCCAGGCGCAACCATGTGGGTTATCAATGACGGCCACGTCTTTTCTGATTGCAGTAAGTCTCGTACTGAACGCTACATCTCAAGACCGAAACTAACCAAGAGCAGTTGGAGTTGACGATGAGATGATCGACACATACGATGCCTGCATGGCAGCGATATACAAGCAACGATACCCAGAAGACGCTGGCCCTGTCCCCGCCATTAAATTCAAGGGCCTAAAGAATATCTTTGCGGCCGACTCTGATGGCTTCCTAGGCCTACAGAAGCTACTCCAGAACTCACACCAGATGCCTCATCCCGTCAAGACGAAGCTCACCGGTGAAGCTGAGCTCTGTCGCAAACTGATGCTTGGCATCGGAGGACCCGACCGCGCATACATCCGCCAGCTGATTGAGCAGCAAGAACCCGATGCTCTTGGACTTTACCGAGGCCAGACACGCTTCATGCTCGAAGATTTGGCTGATATTCCATCAGTCAAGTCTCTGAGCGGCAAGCAAAAGAAGAAGACAGCTGCTCTTGTAGCAGAAGAGATGATGTCTCGAAACCAAGCATACTCCAACCTGACGGAGCTCCTCCTTCCAAACTACGTTCGTCTCTCGATTCATGCACACAACAACGCTGGTCCCAAATTTGCTATCCGTCTATTGCCAGCAGACAAGGTACGCGCAATCGACTCGCTTGAGACGTGCCTTGAGCCCAATCCCGTGTATGAATACCAGCTCCCAACGCCTTGGCACAACTGCATGATCAAGGTAGAAGGCGATGAGTTCATGTACCTCGCAAAAGCCCAAGTAGCCAGGAAGGCTCTACAAACCCCAGGTTTCGAAGGCTCTTGGGTAGATGGACCCGATGGATCATACTTCAGCCTAAGGCGCAAGTCAGCCGAAACAGCGGGCACCATTGCTCCTCCCAAGCTCATTATTCCCGGAACTACACCCATGGAGAAGGTCAGCGTCTTCAACCAGAACAAGAAGAGCACCATTGTCCTCGTTACGCCGATCCACGAGAAGCAGAGGCCAATCATTATCTGCTCGCCGGTCGTGGGCAAGAACAGCCCCATTGTCGTTACTTCGGCGGCAGGCGAGGGCCAGCGACCCATTGTCGTCTGCTCGCCCATCACCCGCAGGCAAGCCATGTTCTCCCCCATTGCCGAAAAGATGCGCTCGCCCATTGGCTCTCCTATCGTACGCAGGAAGACACAGGTCATTGCTTGCGATCCTGCGGCCGAAAAGGGCGCCACGGTAGCTGTTTCACCCGTGGAGACTGGATCTCTTGCGCGACAGGATACTCACTTTGTTCAGCGGGGTGAGAAGAACAAGCTGCGCAGGCTTCTTCCTGTCATCAGCATGATGCGGTCCATTCGGGCGCAAGCGTAGGGTGTGCAGAGTATTTCTTTTGTAACAAAATTGTTGTTTTCGTATCATTTTGTTCTTCTCCATGTCGCTATAGTCAGTTGGCTAAGATTGAATGGTCATTCACATAATAGTATGTACGGAGGAAACCGTGTCAGGCGTTTGGGCCAAGGATGGTCTTGGGACTTGTTTTTTTTTTAAAATGGCTGGCCAGAAGGCGGCTTGCGCTTTACTATACCAATATCAATATCTCTTTTCATCACAACTTTTTTGTTCTACACTTTGCGAATGAATTGTGATACCTCTGAAGTGCAAACAAGAATGAGACGATACGATATTCCTCATCGGGCTAATCCGCTTAGCTTTACTCGCATTCCACGCCTTGTATGCAGGCCTCTCGCCTATTTGATTAAAACGCCTTCCTTCGCGCAGAAACTTGCGCAATTCGGCGCGATTCCAGCCTCTCATAATTACTAGATATATAGACATGTGCCAAGCTCCCAAAACTGCACTGTCACATGAGTACGATGTAGCGATTAAGATTGAGCATGGGTTGGACGCCTTGTTCCACCTTGTTCTGGTCCCAGCTATCATTCGTAGACTACAGGGTTATTGCCAAGAGGGCAGCGTTTATTTGAATTAGAGGAGATGAATACGTTGGATGCTGACACCGCTCAGGAAATATAAGCAGTGTCGAATGTGCACATAAAGAGTCGGTGTCTGTAGAGGTCCAGCAGTCCAAGTAACAGTGCCCATAACTTACTCACCAACATTCATCCTCGGATCCAATTTGCTTACAATGGGCTTCTTACATGGATTGGTTTCCTTTTTTGGGATACAGCTCACCATGGTTGCAACAGGTATGTGCTAATTGTCAATATACAATAGCACAGCACACTGACACAAAGCAGCATCAGGCGCCAACGTACCGCGGACTTATGGTTTCGTCCTATTCCGCATGTTCGACATGCTCGACCTGTATGGGCCATCTGAAGTCCTGCAATTCATTGGCGGATCATACCAGACAAACATTGTCTACATTGCCGAGACTCTGGACCCAGTGACGACGCGGCCCGCACTGGCAGCCATGAACCCGTTGAACTCATCAGTCTACCCGTCCATAACACCAACACACACATTTGAGACTGCGCCGGAACTCGACGTACTGGTTATACCTGGTGGACCTGGATGGCGCAACCCAACCACGCTCAACGCTACCATGGAGTATATTCGTAAGACGACGCCGAAAGTACAGCAGGTGCTTACCATCTGCACGGGCTCGGCACTCGCAGCGCGTTCGGGTATCTTGAACGGCAAGAGGGCGACTTCGAATAAGTCGTCTTGGTTGTCGACGGTGCAGAATAACCCAAACACGACCTGGGTGCCGCACGCGCGATGGGTCGAGGACTACTCGAGCTCACCACCCATCTGGAGCTCGTCGGGAGTCACGGCGGGTATCGATATGGTGCTTCATTGGGTCGAGAAGACGTATAATCTTGAGAACGCAACGACTATTGCGCGCTTCATTGAGCATGTGCGTATCACGGATCCGAGTATTGATCCGTTTGGTAGAAACGAGACAGTGAGTCGGTAGAAACGAGTGTTTCTCGGTTGTATGTATTTAGTCACGCATCTAGTCACCAATGTGAATATATCAATTCATCGGTGCCGAGGATGTCAATCATGTCTAGGTCTTTATTCGTGAAGCGACTCGAAGCGAGCACCGTATACGTACCCGCCTTTCCCATGCTGTATGCACCTTGCATCCTCTTTATCACTGACCCCCACGCCATTTTTTCGCTTCCACACTGTTGGGAATGCGCCTCTATTGCACTTGCAGCATGCAATTCATCTATCACACGTGTGGTGGGGAGAGTGTATCCTAGCACATGCAACATTCGCGGACCGCTCCCTGCTCTTCCCCTTGTCCATGCCACCGATCACTAAGAAACCCCAGCAAGTATGCAGGATTCAACCCGAGTAAAAACCCCCTTTTGACTGTCCAAAGGACCATCAGGACAAGATCATTCGTGTATGCGTGAAACATGCTCAGCTGGAAACCTTCTCATCTGCAGGAGCAGCTAAACCGCATCCGGCAAGGCGGGCTGCGCGGTGAACATGTTTCTGGGATTCCAAGGATTTTTAGGATGGGAGGAAGTGGGAATATGCTACGAGTGTCGGTGGGCGGTCAGGCGATTGCAGTGGCACGAGATAAGAGTAGCTAGGTAGAAAGCAGTAAAAGTAGGCGCTCGTGTAATCCTAAGCACATGTTGTGTGGTTCGCGAGGTGGAACTCTTTCCCTCTCCCCCAACCATGCTTGCCGCGCTAAACAATGTGGTGCCCTGGGACAGGCTACAAGAAGCCATGGTGAGCAAGTATTAAAGTACCAATGTTCTTTCATGTCTTTGCTCGTTAGCTACTTTTTTTTCTCTAAAATTTCCACACGTAAACACGCACAGGAACGCCAAAAAAGAAAAAAGTGTGAATTGTACAAAAGTGCAGGCAGAGAAGAGACAAACGTGCATTTCATCCCTGCACTTTCCCCTTTCAATTCACCCATTCTTACGGATTATCGTTGCCCACTTGAAGCCCGCACCTTCGTGCGCAAAAGTGCTCACGGAAAAAGGCATTGATAACAAAACAAAAAAAGGAAAACTTGCTCAAGCATTGTTTGTACACATCGCACCCCACCGCCTTTCTTCCTCGAGATATATCTGCTCCGCACCTGGCCACTATACCCCGTTCGCTCGCTACCCGTGATCGAAACATCTTCCGACTACTACTACCAGGTCGATTCCGAAAGCGAGCAAGACAGCAGATATGGACATGTCAATGGCGACGTCCACGAGCACTGGCATGTCAACGGACATGGCGACAATGAGCAGCATGGCACCCATGGCGACATCATCGGCAGCCATGCACGACATGGGCGGTATGGGAATGGGAAATGGATGCAAGATTAGCGTACGCAGCACATGTCCCTCGCCCCCTCTCTCTTATAGACAGAGTGTACTAGCGCAAATGACTAACTATTAGCGCGTGTAGATGCTGTGGAACTGGAACGTACTCGACGCGTGCTTCATTACCAAGTCGTGGCGCATCCGATCCAGAGGCATGTTCGCGGGCTCGTGCATCGGCGTCATTCTGCTCGTTGTCTTGCTCGAGTTTCTGCGTCGGGCGGCCAAGGAGTACGATCACTTCATCGTGACGCAGCACAGCAAGACGCTCGCGTCGGATAACGCGGCCCTTTCGTCGGCATCGTCTGCGGATGGCATCGTTCCAGGTACAAGCAAGAGTCCAGGGCCAGTGGGGACAGCGAGTCCGACAATGGGTGGTGTGGTGAAGGCCAAGTTCAGGCCGACAATGCTGCAACAGGCAGTGCGGGCACTGCTACATACTTGTGCGTTTGCAGTGGCGTACTTTGTCATGTTGTTGGCCATGTACTACAACGGGTACTTCATCATCTGCATCTTCATTGGAGCGTACATTGGCTACTTCATCTTCGGGTGGGAGAGCTTCACGGTCAGCAAAGGTGGTGATGATCGCATGCAGGAGAATGCCACCGTGTGTTGTGGATAGGGGCTGACACCGTGATATGGGCGAGAGTGATGGCAGCACATTATGGCGAAATCAAGATGGCTTAGAAGATAAATCACACATATTCGGATACACAAATATCATGATAGAAAAGTAATTGTATTCATGGTCTCATCCCCGTTTGACCTCATGTCCTCCTAGTCATACAATACTAATGACTACTACATTCTCTGCATTGATTGCCGCGACACAGGAGTTGTCTTGACGAGGACTGTCTGGAGAGTGTATTAGCAGGCCGTCCCGCTAGTATAGGTAGTCTGTGGTGCCACTCACGGAGTCGTAGGTCTTGTGTTTGCGCACTCGACTCATGGAGTCAGTGGCTTATTTGCCCTGGAAGAGTTGTTAGCACTTGAATGGAATGGAGAGTAGAGGGCAAGGGTGACATACGGGGCATCCATCACAGCTGCAGGTGGCGCCGCAGTTGCAGGCACCGGAAGCACAGCCGCAGTTTCCCTTCATGTTGATGGTGGTTTTGGGTAGTTGGTTGGTTGGTGTGGGTGGGCTGAAAAGAGGATTGATGGTGTTTATTGTTGGCTTGAGAGTTTGATTGTGAGATGAGTAAAAGAAGAAGAGAAGGGGGGAGTGTCCAAGGGAAGTGTTATATAGCCAAGGCATGCGCGACTTGTGCGGGCGTGCCAATGCAGTGGCGGCTTCCCCCGACCAACGGCCACGCCTGCCCCGCTCCCGAGCCCTGAATTGCCTTTCCGGGCAACCCCACTGACCGCCCAATCCTGCGCCTGTGATTGGCCTGCGCGCTTTGTGCGGTGCTTAGTGTGGGGTGAGGCACTTGTGCGTCCTTCTTACCCTGCGCCACTCGCCTCAACACGCAGGAAAAACAGTGGGGGCCGCGCGCTTTGTGCGGATTCCAGGCCATGACATGCAGCCACCCGTGCTACTCGACCACCGCACAGTGCCCCCTCCCCCATGCCACCCCTCACTGCAGAACCTGCGAGAACCCCCCGTTCCTCTCCAGCCCGACTGCACCAAAGACCCTGGTTTTTCTCGCATAGAGCAAACTATGCCTCCATTGCCAATCGACGCCGACAGCGGCCAAACAAGCGCGAGTCTCTGTGTAACACAGGGCTCGGGAACACACCACAAATAGCTAGTATCCACGGCCGAGCTGCGAGCATGTGGGTTCTACTAGTAGTTGCCTGGATTAGTACCAACATATCCTCTTCCTTCTCAACCCACAGTCAAAGCCCCAGAGTCATCAGCCAAGTGTTGGTGGCTAACCATTTCCTGCAAGGACAACTAATGACAAAGTATATCGTGTCATCAACTATGTACGAGCAAACTCAATCCGAATGCGCACACAAATCATTCTCCACATCTAGCTGACACTCGTGCTTGATGCTACTGGTCCTACCTCTATGCCCACTTATCGCTAGACCCGTCCATGGGCAAAGCTCCACCCGGACTGCGATAACACCGCTCAGCAACGACTCCATGTCTACTGTAACCAACCCTATTCAGCCGTCGAATTTACCGCCGCAGTAGACACAAGCATCGCAGGCGAGGAACAACACCCGTCCCAGCGTAACAGCAAGCTTCCTTTCTACCTCTTCTTCTTCTTCTTCCTCCTCCTCCTCCTCCTTATCTTCTTCGCCATTCTTATCCTGTTCTCGACTCACACCATCGCCCTGCTCCAATCCCTCTTTTTCTCCCCCGTTTTGGGATCCGCCCACCTCCTCCATGACGCTGTCTTCTGCAACATCTTTGCCCTTATCTTCCACACTCTCCTGAGCTATCACATACTCGTCACTCAAGAATGGTGTGCTGCAAATACCACAGTACTTTGTAATGCCGGGTGCCTGGATGGCAAGAAAACTCAATCCGCATCTTGCAAACTGATGTCCGTTCGTGCATGAGGCTGACGTCAGGTCGGTGAACGGTATCGAAGCAGAGCAAAACTCGCATCCCTCCACCCATGCGGCCACAGCCTCTTGTCGTGAATCATTGGCATTACTGTTTGTCCCAGTATTGACCGTTCGAGACTCATCAATACCCGAGGCACCAGACTCTACGCAATTCTCGCTCTCTGAAGAGCCGTATCCCATGACCGCATTGACAAGCTTGATGAGCTGTTCGTGCTGAGCCACTATCTCCGCACTCAAGGCTGAATTTACAAGTGACGCCGGAAGGCTGTGTACTGCATTGGCAAGACGATACGCTATCAGCGTTCTCTCAAGCTCATGTGACGTCCCGATCTTGCAGGCTTGAGAAACGAGTATCCTATACCGGTCTTTGAGTGTATGCGAGTTGAGAAAGGCCGTCATCTTGAAAGCTTTGATCAGAGAGTTCAAATCGCCTGCGTCAGCATACAGACGAACCCTGTCTGCATAATCTTCGGCAACGCGGGGAGCTGGATACGCCCTCGTAAGCTTTTGCACAATCTCCTCAGCAAACCCAGGCATGTCGTCCTGATCCTCGACCATGTCTTCTGCCAGCTTACGGATCGTATAGCTAACTCCTTCTGCGCTGACATTTGCTTTGGGGAATGCCTCCCGCTCCTCGCTGCTATTTCGCAAAGAACTAACGGCAACCGTCCCACTCCTATCAGCAGGTATACCATACTCGATCATGTTGGACGGATGCACGCTATTGCACGCTGCAATGAAATCGCCTAGTGGAGATTTTGACAAGCCCCAAACCTTGGCCTTGCTGTTGCCCTTGAGCCCATTCTTGACGCTAAATAGTGCAATGTTATTCTCAATCTTTTCTCGCCAGCTTGGATTGCTCAGGCTTTTCAACCCCTCGGGAGATATCTCAAGAGTAGATGTCTGATTGTGCAGGGTTGAAAGCAATGAACTTAGATGTAGACGACATGTCGAGTCATCAGGACTGTCCCACACCGCACCGGAAATCTGGTCCCATCGCCCGTCAAGACCGTGGGTCTTTGTTTCAATAATCGAACCATCGTAGGCAGATATGGTCAGACAGACGAGTCCCGAATTCGTAAAAAGGGCAAGCTTGAGTCGATTTCCCTCTTCAATCCTAGGCGACCACTTCATTGGGCCTTGGTATCGCAGTTCGCATCCAGGGTACACGACCTCCTTCTCCGTACATATGCCGTCAGGCCGATGCTTAATGACTCTTGCCCGCACGTCTTCGTTCGTTGCGTACACAACCACCGAATGATAGCCGTCATCAAATGGAATCCACGGACTCCAGGCGATATGAGATATATACCGCTGTTGTTTCATCACATCTTCAAACACACGTGGTTCCGAGAAGATACTATCCGGGTTTGACGTCAACGACTCATGAGTTAGAACCTCCGCTGCCCAATATCGCCCAACCCCTAGGGTAGAAGTGGGTGATTCGACTGCCACAAACACTAGGTGGTTGTCATCGTTGGAAACAGCTAGAAAGTGTCGAGAATATATAAGACTAGTCCCAATGATTCCAGTCGCTTCGGACAAAGGCAGAGCAGGTGCCCATGCAAACGCCCGAATGCGGCTTCTCAAGCGCAGCTGTTCTTTGGGTGATACCGTCAAGTGGCTAGGTTCATCATCGCAGTCGCTAAAATGCTCAGCGAGCGCATCATTAATGATGAACCGCCGGGACCAGCTTGATTCATCTTGCGGCTTACCTTCGGCTGACCAGATAGAAAGAGTCAGATTCGCGGTAAGAACGCCAAGAGCGCATTTCCGATGCTTTGCAAGTCCCTGTGGTGACCACGCGATGCTGAGAGGAGAGCTATTGGATATTTCCTCGCCAATAGAGTAGTTGGATAGTGGCGCGAGTTCTTTGAGTGGCAGCTCATCAGTTGAGAAAAGTGGTACTTTGAGGGGAACATGTTGCCACTGTGGAAGAACTTGGTCCCTATCAAAATCGACGGTATTTGGAAACTACAAGACCATCAGCAGGGTATCATCTTGAGTTCTCTTTTCCGAAAGAAACGTACAAGCAACTCCACACGTTCGTCAGACGCTAGTGCGATGATGCCGTCTGGGGACCAGTCAATCGCATCAACGCATGCTGGCCAGCACCTGAGCACCGTTACATTCGACATGACCGCTTACAAAACCTAGAAATTGATCCTGTGCGTAGTAGCCTGGCGGTGGTCATGACTCTTGGTAGCGAGGAAATATGATCAAGATGAGCTAGCGCATGATCGCCCAGCCCTTTCTCACTAGTGGCTAGAGTTGTCGAGATCAGAAAAGAAAGCTCTAGTCTAGAGACGATATTTAGTCTAAATCGCCGCACATATGGGCAAGATCATGGTTTAGGTGCAGAGACGCGAGATTTCTATTCAGGGTCGCGTACTTGGACAATTGGGACTAGCGCGTGTCTTATCGATTGGAGCTAATGCCGACCGCCGACGAAAAAAGTGATTTTTCCACCTTCTTTTGCTGCTCCTGCACGGATAGCATTGCGCATCGACAAGATGGGTAAACGACCAATTTCCGATGTTGTCGCCGAAGACGGTGCGACCACTGTCACCGAAATCTCAAGAAAGAAGAGCAAGAAGGACAAGAGCAAGAAGCTCAACAAAACCGCCCCCGTCGACGCGATAGACACCAATGGCCACACCGGCGAGGTGATGAACGGCAAGAGCGCGGACGACTCAGAGGACGAGGACAAGCTGTCAAAGGCCGAGCGCAAGGCGGCAAAGAAGGCCAAGAAGGAAGCCAAAGAGGCGAAGAAGGCCAAGAAGGCGGCAGCAGAGGCTGAAGTAAAAGACTCTAATGGCGCTGTCGCAGAAGACGAGGAGGTCATAAAAGCCGCGGAGAAGGCAGCGCGCAAGGCAGAGAAAAAGCGTCTGAAGGCGTTGGCCAAGGGCGAGGAAACTGCCGAGTCCACACCCTCAACAACGTCTCCACCAACCACTACTACCACGGAGCCCGCAGCGACGAACGAGACAAACGCAGCGCCAGGACAATATGAGGAGACGAAGGAGCTGACACAGCTTCCTCAGTCAGAGATTGATGCTTTCCTGGCTAAGAACACCATGACCATCCAGGACCCCAAGCCCACTGGCAATAAGCTGCGTCCCATCTTGAACTTCAAGTATTTGCCTGTCGACGATACGCTACGCGCCTTCTTCTCCAAATTTAGCGCACCTACACCTATCCAAGCAGCCACATGGCCATTTTTGCTGGCAGGAAGGGACATGGTTGGTGTTGCCGAGACTGGCTCCGGCAAGACGTTGGCATTTGGTGTGCCTTGCGTGCGCAACATCGCCGCATTGCCCAAGGACAAGCGGAAGGGCATCAAGGCTGTCATTGTCTCGCCTACTCGTGAGCTGGCGGTCCAGATCTACGATCAATTGGTAGCCCTGGCGACACCTGTCGGACTTTCAGTCGTCTGTGTTTACGGCGGTGTGCCAAAGGACCCGCAAGTTGCTGCTTGCCGCAAAGCGCATATTGTTGTTGCTACACCAGGTCGTCTTAACGACTTGATTAGCGATGGTTCTGCGGACCTCAGCAAAGCCGAGTACGTAGTCCTTGACGAGGCCGATCGTATGCTCGACAAGGGTTTTGAAGAAGCAATCCGACAGATTATCTCGCAGACGCCCAAGAAGCGCCAAACGCTTATGTTCACCGCTACTTGGCCGCCTTCAGTTCGGGACCTTGCATCTACATTTATGAGTTCGCCGGTCAGAATCACCATCGGCGACAATCAATCCGGAGAGCTCCGTGCCAACGTGCGCATCAAGCAGGTAGTCGAGGTTGTGGATCCCCGCGCCAAGGAGCAGCGTCTCTTGCAGCTGCTCAAGCAATATCAGTCTGGCAAAAACAAGGAAGATCGCATTCTTGTATTCTGCTTGTACAAAAAGGAAGCAGTGCGCATTGAGAACTTCATTCGCATGAAGGGCTTCCGCGTCGGCGGCATTCATGGCGATCTGAGCCAAGAAAAGCGCAGTGCGTCACTTGCGGCGTTCAAGGAAGGCCATGTGCCGCTGCTCGTGGCGACAGACGTGGCTGCACGTGGACTCGACATTCCGGCCGTCAAAGTAGTCATCAACGTCACCTTCCCGCTTACAGCTGAGGATTACGTGCATAGGATTGGTAGGACAGGTCGCGCTGGAAAGGAAGGCCTGGCTATTACCTTGTTCACCGAACACGACAAGGCGCTTTCTGGCTCGTGAGTCGCCCCCCCCCAAACCATCCCTTCTTGTAATGTGTCAGCAAGATGAGAGACGTAAGCTGACAAATTCTCGCAGATTGATCAATGTGCTCAAGGCAGCGAACCAGCCCGTGCCAGAAGAGTTGATGAAGTTTGGCACGACAGTCAAGAAGAAGGAACACGGGGCGTATGGAGCCTTCTACAAGGATACGGAGAACGCCAAGGCCGCGACGAAGATTACTTTTGACTAGAAGCATTCGTTTTCAGTACCGTAAACGCTATGTATGTGTGTGTGTGTGTGTGTGTGTGTGTATATCAAAGTTTAGTATGGTTGACAAGTTGGTCGGCGAAGTGTTCTGAAAAGCGGTCGGTCATGGACTTTTTACATGGTACATAGATACTAGAGCATTGATCTAGCGTAGGCGTCTCGGACCAAGAGAAGTTAAAATTCCCCGATGGGTGTCCGCATGTAGTAGATGGTGGAGATGCAATCTATTTTTTACTCTCTTTCGTCTTAACTTGCATACTTACTAACTCGTCTTAATGGTTTCCACAATTTCCATCCTTGTGCATCTGAACTACAGTTACAAGAAATCATCAGGCATTACCATGTATCTATACATCCATACACTATCCCGTCCGTCTCTTCTCCATCTTCCATGAGTTAAAAAGACCCGGTGGCGAGAAGAAGAAGAAAAAAAGAGACTAGGTCCAACTTAAACGCCTCACCCGTAGACTTAAAAAAAACCCCTGTAGTCGGCGACGGAGCGGACGACAGGGGGAAAAGAATACGAGAACCAGAGTCTAGAAAGAAGAAGGAAGAGGAAGAAAGAGAGGTGGGAAAGAGAGAAAGAGAGAGAGGGGGGGATAAGGAGTGGGTATGTGCGTTTCAAAAGGGCAACATCGCCGAGTTTTGTTAGTAGTCGGCGACCAAAAAAATGGTCGGAGGGGGGGAAAAGGCGCATGCGGGGCCCAATCACCGGGGGGGCGCGCCCAAGAACCAAAGTTGCGGTCTTGGGGAGGGGGGCGTTTCCCGGGTGTGGAGGATAAGCCCAGAAGATGGTCGGCGAAGAGGCATGGGTTGGGATTATGTGGGTACGCGTTTATGTGTGATTTCCTGGTTTATATATAAAGAGGTGAGAATCAAGGTGTATATGGAGGAGAGTTGGTGGTCTTTAATCTGAAGATCTTTCTGTCTTTTTTTTCAATACCTTGTATAGCGAGATTTTGATCGTCGGGTTATCTACGTACCTATATACTCCTACGACAATACACAAAAAGGTGGATTGAATACCTACAACAAAGATAATCATCATGTGCAAAAAGGCTTCATGCGATTCATGCCGTACGTCTTTTCCGTTTGCTCCGCCCCATCTCCCCGACAGATAGATGTGCCTTGACATGCCATTCTACCAAGGCATTGCTGACACTTTGTAGACAAGGTCACGTGGTGGGGCTGTGGAAAGCACATTGCTGGTGTCATGGAGAGCGTCCCGTCAGAGCAGTGGTGCACATGCGTACCACGGATCGAACAAGAGGGACAGCAATACCCACCCAAGGGCTCTTTGTCATCAGCATGACTCCCGGCGTGGTTGAGCGGGCGTAAGAATTGATGGCAGGACAAGTGGTACTACTCATCAATTTCGGCCTGCTCGGCCCAAGAACAAGACTCACGGAGGAATATTGTACCTGGCACGGCGTATGTAGGAGTAAAGGTGTGGGAAAGGGCGTTTTCTTGGCTTCTACGGCATGATGCGGATGTAGTCAATTTTTTCTACTATGAGAAGGGCTTAGCGACTTGCAATATTACAACATTACCGTTACCCGTTTCTACGAATGGTTATTTGAACCAATTGATGCTTTAGATACCAGTCAGCATCTGTGAAGGCACATGTGCGTATGTATTTTGATGCAAAACACTGTAGATCTGTTGGGCGCATTCAAGCCCAGCCAAGTGAGCCGGCAATAGCAGTAACCATATTGGACGGCGAGATGTCGGTTTGTGGCGTTTGTATGGTTCTGACGGGACCTTGCAGTCATGCTTACGTAGCCGCGCCAAATACATGGAACAGGGTGGTACGGCATGTGGGCTTGGTGCTCGCGGGTTGCAGAGAAAGACTGGGCGGGGGGTTGCACCGACGCTCCCGCCCGGGTCGATTGCCGTTTGAAACGGCTTCTGGAAAAGGCTGTGGAGCTTCGACTTGAAACAAGCATCATGTTTGTGTACGACCGAAGAAGGGCGGCGCGATATTATTCTCCTTGTGCTGTCGGAGGTGTAGAAGAGGGACTGCAGACGCGTGGCGGGTGTAGGGCTAGTGACAAGACGATGGACAGAAGGCTGCGACCCAGGGTGCCGGGAAGACAAGAGTCATTGTGTTTGTGATGGGGAGGTGGAGGGCGGAGGAGCCAATGGGTCTGGGAGAAGGGGAAGCCGCATGGTGAGGCTGGTCTCATAATGGGTCTGCTAAGTATAGGCGTTGCAGGAGTGGGTGGGAGTAGGGCGCGCAAATGAGCAGTTTCAGGTATTGGCCGTAGTGGCCTAGAAATGATAGGCGGAAGTGTCTGGCCGGCCTGGCGAAACAGAGGGAGAGGGGTTACGAGAGCGAGTCGCGCAACTCACACAGTGGCTGGATCATAGGGCGGCTAGCCAAAGTCTGTTGCTGGGGCGGCAGAGTATATTTTGGACTGTATCGCCGGTCTCATGTGGTCTGCTGTAGCACGTTGGTGTTGAGTTTGTCCCTAGTTGTGGTCCTGCAATAGATGGTGCCTGGGCGACCCCGCCTTCCCATCTTAGACAGCAGTGGGAGTGCGAGTAGGTAGTAGTAGGGGGATGAGTAGGAGTAGCACCACCACCACCACACGCGCCATTGCACCATTTCTGTTGATGACGCCGTGATATCACCGTCGCCCCGCCGTGCGCCACCAGCCACCTCTGCCTCGGTGGTGGTGGTGGTGGTGGTGGTAGTAGTAGTGTAGTAGTGCAGTGTAATGTAGTGTAGTCGACAGCCACGGTCGCTCCCTTTGTGCCGCTTCCCGCGTGGGCGTGTGATAGTAGAGCATGGAGCTGGGGGAGGGATTGACTTGGCAGGCCATAGCTACTACACTACTTACACACGCTGCCCCACCATCTCTCTCCCCTTTCTGTCACCGCCTCACTCGCCTCCATCTTGCGCGGGCAGTCCCAGCCAGTGCCAGAACGAAGCAGCACAGCACCGCTCCTCCACGGGCGCACCACACAGCTCCAACCCTGGGCCGTCCCGCCAGTGTCTGGTAAGTCATCCATGTCCTCTCGTCGTCCAGAGGGGCCGACGCCGCCATTGTGCAGTGGCGCCCAAGATAGCCGCCGCCGACGCCGTGCACACAGTCAATTGCTGCTGCTACTGCTCTTGCTATTGCTGGTGCTGATGCCATCGCCTCCGCCTCCGCCGCCGCTTCTGCTCTGGCTGCTCGTGCCGCGCAGACAAGCACGTGGGGCTGAACTCTGTGTCTGACACAGACTCGTTTCACCATGAGCGCCCAAAGCACACCCTCCGTCTTGCGAACAATGCCTGTTTGATGACATGTACAGCCTGTGCTGACCTACAACCCTCTGCAGCTGTCTCTTCCATCCTCTACATTGTCGCTCACCTCCCTCGTCCTCTTCAACCACCCCTCCGCACCAACGCAACCGCAGCCCCAGCCCCGCAACCACCACCACCATCACCATCTGAGCCTCCACTCGCCTGCTCCTACTCACCGCGCTCTCGCGCATCCCATCCACCACAACCGCCACCATGCCACCAGCAGGAAGCGGCAGCTCCAGGAAAATCTCCTTCAACGTCTCGGAGCAGTACGACATCCAAGATGTCGTAGGAGAGGGCGCATACGGTGTCGTATGGTACGTCTCGCCCGCCAATGGCCCGCTTTCAGCCCCCTAACAACACTCACAGCTCCGCCTTGCACAAGCCCTCGGGCCAGAAGGTTGCCATTAAGAAGATCACACCCTTTGATCACTCCATGTTCTGCTTGAGAACACTGCGAGAGATGAAGCTGCTGCGCTACTTCAACCACGAAAACATCATCTCCATCCTGGACATCCAAAAGCCCCGCAACTACGAGACTTTCACCGAGGTCTACCTAATTCAGGTGCGCAGATTTCTTTGCTTGCATACCCTATTTTTTTTCTAACCTGCTGTTTAGGAACTCATGGAGACAGACATGCACCGCGTTATCCGCACACAGGAGCTGTCCGACGACCACTGCCAGTACTTCATCTACCAGACCCTACGCGCCCTCAAGGCCATGCACTCGGCAAATGTCCTCCACCGCGATCTCAAGCCCTCCAACTTGCTGCTCAACGCAAACTGCGATCTCAAAGTCTGTGATTTTGGTCTCGCTCGATCCGCCGCTTCGACCGAGGACAACTCGGGTTTCATGACCGAATACGTTGCCACTCGTTGGTACCGTGCGCCAGAGATTATGCTTACCTTCAAGGAGTACACAAAAGCAATCGACGTATGGAGTGTGGGATGTATCCTCGCTGAGATGCTCAGCGGAAAGCCTCTTTTCCCAGGAAAGGACTGTAAGTCGCGCGCAGTGCCTCCAAATCAGCTCCCGAGAAACTAACCTTTGCCAGACCACCACCAGCTCACATTGATCCTCGACGTACTGGGTACGCCCACCATGGAGGATTACTACGGTATCAAGTCCCGCCGAGCTCGCGAATACATCCGATCTCTGCCCTTCAAGAAGAAGATCCCCTGGAAGGCCATGTTCCCCAAGACGAATGATTTGGCTCTTGACCTGCTCGAGCGATTACTGGCTTTCAACCCAGTCAAGCGCATCTCAGTCGAGGACGCGCTCAAGCACCCATACCTTGAGCCCTACCACGACCCAGATGACGAGCCAGGCGCGGACCCCATCCCAGAGGAGTTCTTCGACTTTGACAAGAACAAGGACAACCTGACCAAGGAACAGTTGAAGCGTGAGTGCAGACGAGTTTCTACACGCCGAGTATGAGCTAACAGCACGCAGTCCTCATCTACCAGGAGATTATGCGATAAACACCTTCACGTCTTTGGCCCTTGCGCGGGATTAATACAAGATACCACGATCGAGTCCATTTTCGCAACTTGTCTGCAGCCAGCTAGTCTGAGCGCATTAGCATGTGAGAAGTGGCATACCATGTTCCTGTCATTTGGATTCGCAGCAGAAGAAATACATTAGCATGACAGCGCAGAGGTGCGCGGATATGAGCTTGAGCTTCGAATATTTTCTATGAGCAATTTCTGTCGTCACAGTGTGAGATGACAATAAGCACAAATGCATGCTTCTTTGCAAATTGCCTGGCTATTCTTGGTGCCCCCTGTTCACGATGCACGAGATGGTCTAACACAAAACTTGCATATTGGCGTATCGCTGTGGCCTATAAACACCGCCCAATGCCTTTGTCCTTGATGCTAACTATACAAGAGTGGTGGCGTCGTCGTCGCTTTGCAAACACAAATGATGCCCACTGTCATATACACATAATCGTACACGTCGCACATGGCCGAGGTAGCTTCCTGTTTTGACCTAGAAATCGCACCTGCCATCCTTCCACCCAGTCCGCCATCTTTCTTCCCACCTCTTGCAGTCAAATGTCTCCTTGCCCAACTTCTCATTGACTGCATTGTGCGCTTCACACATCCACTCGCCGAACTCGCTGCGATTGCTGACCCTCGGCGTGTTCTTCTGCATCCACTTTTGAAAATCTTCTGCGCACACCCAGCACGGATATAATTTGCCAAACGTGGAGAGGAATGACTTGGTTTCTGACTGAAGTTGAGGAGACGGGTTGGTTGGGTATGTGGCGGTTATGGAATGGAGGAGTGTCCACGATGAGCGACCGAGGGCTTCCACGTCCGGCGGGCAGTCAGCGGGCATTGTGGGGGTAGTTTTGGCAGTCGCGGTGGGTTGCGTGCGCTTCGTAGGCATTTTGCCCGACATTGCGAATAAAGAGGCTACATCGTTGCAGGTGCGACATCTACAGCGTAGGCAAACCAGTCGTCAGCATCCACTTCTTCTCACATACACACGCGACAAAGGGCTATGGCGATTGCAAGGCTTGTGTATTGCCTGGCGCAATTGCTCGCGGGTACATACGTAGGTACAGAAAGGAAGAGAGAAAGAAGCTACTTACGGCTTGCCGTCTGGACCGAGTATGATGCCATTCGCCAGTTTCTTGTAACCAGGCCTTCCCTCTATATCCTTCGCCTCGCTCGTATCCAGCTTACCCTGCGCCATTGTCTCTCACTCTCTTCCCCAAGTATGATTTTCTTGCGTTGAAGCACAGCACAAACGTGGCATCGTTTAGGTCGGACGATTTCTAAGCCCTTCCACCATTGTCGGAGCCTCGGAGTTAAGAGAGCGTCATGGCGGCAGCAAGGCTGATCCTTGCTTTCTTGGTTTCGTTTCCGCTTCCGCTTTCCAGGGACGTGATGTGATGCAACTTCTTGGGAACTCAACTTGCTCATGCGTTGATTGGTAGAAACGTACATGTAGTACAGCACGTGTTGCTAGTCTCCTAACTGCCCACGCGCTTCGTTGTCTTCTGCCCATTAACAATGGACGTCCCGGTGGCTGCCAATGTACTGGGGACCATGGGAGCGGTACGTGAACTATCCTCATAGAAGGACCAATATACTAATTAGTGTAGGTCTGTTGGTCTATTCAGGTGTGTATAGTATATAGTTACATCTCTTCTTCCCCATCCCATGCCCAATGATAATGCTGAGTATCTCACAGTTGATACCTCAAATTGTCGTAAACTACAGACGACACAATGCAACCGGATTGCAACCTACGATGATGATGTTGTGGGCTTGGGCTGGTGTCCCCTTGGGCGTTTACAATATTGCTGAAGACTACAACATTGCTTTGCGCATCCAGCCGCAGATTCTCACTGTGCTGAGTCTTGTCACGTGGATCCAGTGCTATTATTACGAGAAGGTGACTCGAGGAGATTACTATATTGAAATGCATGAGGGAAACTGACATCGTGCAGAACTGGTCTGTTTTGCGTTCACTTGCGGTAGTCATCCCCATAGCCAGTCTTATGGGTGGAGTGCAAACTAGCCTCATCTTCGCAATACGACGTGCTCAGCATCAGGGCCTGCACTGGCCTAGTATCCTCATGGCAGTTGCTTCAGCTGCTTTGCTTGCAGCTGGCGTTATGCGGCACTATATTGACATCTACCTCTTTCGGACTGTTCGAGGAATCTCGTTCATCTTTGTAGCCATCGATGCCCTAGGCGATGTCTTCTCATTGGTGTCCGTCTTGTTTCAGCCTACCCTCGACGTTCTAGGGATTGTGATTTATGGCACCGAATTGGCCCTCTGGATTGGCATCTTTGCTTGTGGAGCTTATTACAATCTCTCACCTTGGATCGTCTCACAGACAAACGGCCGGAAGAGAAGTCATGCGGCATGCAATGAAAGCGTTGGTCCTGCCGCAGATATAAACACAGGTGAAGAAGGAGCAGCAGTCGCATCTGGGATCGCGCTCCATAACCTACCTTCTAGCACTTCAGTCTTCAGGACGCCGTCGGGCAATATCGACGTCATGTCACGGTGAAGGAGGATTTCATCGCACGAGACACAAACGGGCCACATGCCGCGCAAGATTTCATGGGATATGTGGACTGCAGGTCCTTGAAATTGCCCGTTTGTTTGTTTGTCAAGCGTTTGGTAGTGGTTGCAAGCTGGCTCCTGGCTCCTTCCCAGATAGACGCTCTCACCTCTCCCCACTCTCCTCACCCATACACTGCGCTCCCATTGCTCGGACCGACCACTACAGGCACATTTGTCCGCGTTGCAGTCTCAGCGCAAAGGCCCATCGCGTCACCAAAACTTCAAAACACATCATTTGAATGTAGGTAACCGCTCGTTGCTGCTCCTTTTGCTCCACCTGCCTTGACTTCTGTCCGACCAACCACAGCGCGAGTATTTCTCCGCCATACTCACAAGAAGCAGCAACACACCAGATATCGCTACTAAGACTTCACCAATGATTTCCATCATGATGGCCAAAGCCATGTCGCTGGATTGCCAATCGGATGCTCCGTCGGCGCCCAATCCCACTCCAGTCACCGAGCCTGACGGCATTCCGTTTGCCAATGAGCCAGTCGATCCCCCACCAGAGATAGACTACGCCGCCGTTGCTAATATTCTTGCTCCTATTCAGGAGTCGCTCAACGAAGCCGCCGAGGAGGCCGGTTATCCTTCCCCTCCCATCAACACACCAGTGGTCGGTTCCCCGGAGCCCTCCATCGTCTACCGCAACCCTACGACTCGCGGTCGCGGTATTAGCGCTATCGGTGATAGACTGGCTAAGTTGAAACTCGATAACCGCAAGCTGCGTCAGCATGAAGGAGATGCGGGATCAGTCAACTATTCTCCTGAGCCTTCGGTCGCCGAAGATGACGAGGCCGACATGGCCAGCATTTCCGAGGTAGTGGGCGATAGCGGCAAGAACAGACACACTCGTAGGTCTCTTGCTCCGATCAGTGTGACCGAGGGCACAGTGCCTATCGCCCTGGGCTCTCCTGCCGCCAACCCACGTATTGCTGAGTACTTGAGCTTCACCTCGGATGACTTGCCCACTAGCTCGGTTGCCCCTTGCTTTCCCTCTACCCTGATGGAAATGGGCACAGCTTGTATCGAGCCGGCGGTTCATGGTGGCAGCGACAGCTTGAGGAGCGAAGGCGTCACGGAAAAGAGCAACTGGGCTGAGGAGCTCGAGGACACCGCCAACCGCGCTTTCTTGCGCCTTGAGCAGCTAGCAGCTGACGAGGTCAAGATGGACTCTAGCAAGACCTTTGAGGAGTACTACATTGCTCGGCTTGAGCGCCTACTTGGTAACGACAAGCGAGCAGTTCCTGTCCTTGTTCTGAAGGCCGACAAGGCTAGCAAGGTCAAAAAAGCCGATAAGTAGGCATGGCCTTGTCTAGAGCATTTCCATCTTGTTTCTTCACATGAATGGGGCTCCTGGCAGGGAGATTGATGATGGATTATGATTCATGGTATGGGAACTGGGGTTTTTTTTGTATGAATGTGGTGCATTCGGATCATCATGGTGGGTGGCATCAGGGCAGTGTTCTATACCCCATTACACGGGTTGCTTTTTACGATTTCACACGGATTATCTGTACAACACGGTGCCTTGGTAGCAGACCTGGCCCAGAAGTAATAATGCTTGCGTTCTCTCAAACTTTGGCTCGAGTACAATATCGTGCGTGCAAATGTGATCCTGATAGCGATGGGGCCTGCTAGTCAGCACAAGACAGTCTAAAAAGAGCGATGGTACCACCCGTTCCTCACGCCAAGACCCTGCAGGATAGCCACTGTAGCCAGCGTGACGGCGGTTGGCTTATCGTTTGATTTCCAATAAGCCGCACCAGCGGCAGCCAAGAGTCCTGTCAAGACGGCAGCAATGCTCTTGTCATATATGTCGTACACTCCAACCTGAGACCACTTGTAATTGAGGATGCCTTGAGAGAAAAAAAACAAAGTTAGCATTATTAGTAGTAAGTAGGTTGATTTTCCATTCTCTTTTTCATCGGTACAGTTTTGATATTATTAAAAAAAAAGAGAAAAGAAGGTAGAAGAAGAAGAAGAAGAAGAAGAAAAGAAAAGAAAAAAAGACTTACTCATGATAACAAAGAAGCCACTGCCTTCGTACCAGCCAATCTTGGAGGCGCCACGAAGCACAAGCGGAAGCGTGTTCATGGTTGGATGTTTGAATTGATCGAGGCCTTTCATCTGTAATCACCGACAAGGAAAAAATACATCAGATATTTGCATCAATGGTAGTAGTACTAGTTTCGGCTCAAAGGGCAAGAATTGTATTTACCGTGTGGCCTAGGGCTAGCACGCCGTAGGCTGCACTAGTTGCGAGCAGGAGTGGGTGTGATTGCGAGGTTACCGATGCCATTGTTGCGATTGACAATGTACAATTGCTGGTCTTGGGTGTTCGAGCTGGGGAGACAATGTGCTATCGAGATGCTGTGAGGTTTGAGGTTCCTGGCTTGTGATGGGGGGAAAAAGTTGTGTTGCACAGTTGTGTCGACGTGATGATGAGATGCTTGGTTGCTGGCGCGAAGCCGAGGTTACCTAGCGTGGACTAGTACGTATGTACGCATGGTTCCCCCACTTTTCCCCTCGTATTTCAGCTGTGCTGTGTGAGGTTCTAGAGACGTACTGGTATCTGTTCCGTAACGCAATGTAGTGTTTGATAAGTCTGTTTGGTTGACTTCCATAACGTACAGATGAATCAAAGTAAACAGGGCGTCATGCACCATTTCTCTCCTTGTTCAGCTCGTGCAAATCCATCATTCGCCGCTTCATCACCATGTGCTCAACATGCTGGTTCAAGCACTGCCCTACCCCTTGCGCTTGTCGGTTTCCTCTCCCGGTGTTGTATCACATATCTCCTTTCCCTTTGGCCGAGAAGCATCGTCGCTAGTGTCGTGTGTGCTGCGTACGGTGTTTTGTGAGGGCGAAGGTGAGTGTGTGACCGTAGTCGGAACATTGTTTGGGGTATCCTGAGGCTGCAATTGACCAGTCAGACTAGCATTGTGCTTTGAGGAGGCGCTTATAGCATACCTGCTCTGTGCCAGATGAGCCTGTTGACGCTGGCTGTCTGTTTTCCTGGTCTACCAATGCCTTGGCAGCCTCCAATGCTTCTGGCCTCATTGTCTTGGATGCAAAAGCTTCGACTGCTTCAGATTTCATGTGCGGCAACGTAGACTATCCACACCGTACAGGTCTTGTGTGGGGTTTGCTTGAGGGAGTAGTTGGCTGCGTGGAATTCCGTTTTGTAGGTCACTTGCGTGGGCGTAGATAAAACTTTGGGGATTTGATGAAATGATGGTCTGTAGGGTAGTAGAAGAATCAGCAGTAACGGCAGCCTTTCTGTTGCTGCTTTGTTTGCGAGGCAGCGGCCGAAGTGCTCCTTCCTTTACCGCCAACATGGTGACGAGCTTGTTTGTGTAACACAAGCAGCGGCAACATGATGAGTAGTGCAAGTTTCTTGGATGGGAAAGAAGAAGAAGAAGAAGAAGAAGAAGAAGAAGAAGAAGAAGAAGAAGAAGAAGAAGAAAATCACTGAAGGAGGATTCGGAGGTACAAATGTACTATGAGATGCAGTTTGGGTCTGTGGCTGCATCCATGTTGTAGGGATGGATGGACTTGCTCCTTGTGGACGGGAAAGATGGCAGGTCGTTCAGCCACTGCACCGATACAGCAAGGGATGTCCATAACCAGACAATGAGTCTGTGCTTGCAGTGTCATTTATTGCAGATTACGAGGGCAGATAGCCAAAAGCCATTTTTCTGGTTGGAGGGAGGCAACAATATCATAGGGCTTGTGTGGGTTTGCAGTCTCGGCACTGGATGTCAACAGTCATGTAGATTGCCCGTTGTTCGGGGGCTCTCCGCGACATGCACGATACTTGTCATGGGCTTACAGGGCACCGTGGCCAAAGTTTGCTAGTGCCGAAACGCTCGCTCTGATGCCGTGTTTCCTGGCAACAGGGCAGCGTCTGCCGCTACTCTAGGCAAGACAGTAATCATATCCATACTTTGGCATGACGTCGACGCGGTGGCCGTGAGCCGTACTCGACAGAGGCATTGTTGCCGGGGACATGCAAGTATGGGCTCCAGTCGATCGGATCATTGTCGGTCTTGTACATGTTGTTGCGTGACGCTACTCTACATGGCCGTCAGAGTCACCCACCGGCTATTCTCCACCAAGGCCCAAGGGCCATGAGCATCTGCTTGACTATGTCCAAGACGCAACCGTCCGCCCTCCGCTGCGGTCTTGTACACTGAGAAGATGGCGGTAGACATGGACTACACGAGTATCCAAGGCGTGCTCCACCAAGGGCCGCATTGCGGGAGGGTTCAAGCGCTCGATGCGCAGATCAGGATTGCTGACCCAGGGCGAGGCCTGTCCGCATCAAGGTCGCACATACCACCCGGTCATCTGAACTCTCGACTAGGCTATGCCAAAGGAAGCAACCCACTGCGTCTGGCCTCGGCGGCACTAAGCACCAGGTCGCCAGTGTTGCAGGTCCGGAGGTGGATGGCCAAGTCAGGTCGTAGATGGGACGGGTGCTCTACTTGGGTGCATCCCAGCCAGGCGCCGTTTGACGGCTCTTACAGGCACAGGGCGGGCCCAAGGCGGCCATGGCAATATGAGGGGCGCTCCGATATGAGGAGGAGCTGCACCGAAGCCCAGGCGTGCCTATCAGACGGAGAGCAGAGCTTCGCGTCGAGTTCGAGTGGCTTGGGGGCAATATGGAAATGCTGTCGACCATGTCGGGGCCGGGCGTGAATGATCAGGAGACGCAGTTTATGCAGGTCCACACTGCCGCTGCTGGGTCGTGGTCGTGGTCATGGTCATGGTCATGGTCATGGCAGTCAGTGTTGGACCCTCTTTGCCAAGCCTGTAGCCCTCGCCCTCGTCTCGTCGTTGGCCGCTGTGCCCATGGAGCGGCCGGCTGGGTGCGTTGCGAGCACTGCTGGCGGGCTGCTGCTATCCCGGCCCTGGTGTTCGCTTGCTTCCCACCACTGCCACTCCCACCACCACCACCACTACCGCAACAGCTAATCAGCAAATCACTGTCAACGGCTCCGTGCTTCCTGCACCCTTCTCTGTAAGCAGCCGATTACCGCACACACACACACACACACACCCACACCCACACCCCTCATGCCTGTCAACTGCGCCCGCTGTGGGGAGGCGACGATACACGCTGCCCTTTCGCTGACGACTCGCCATCCTGGTCTGGGAGGATCCTCTGCCGCCGCTGTTATTGATTGTCTGAGCCGAACGTGGAGTACTTGACGCCCCTTGTCATCCCCGCATTTGCGCCGCTCATCTCGCGAGCCATGTTTTGCACATGTGTAGAGCTAGACGGACGCGAGATTAGCTGTGGTTATAATCGCTGCTGGCCCGGCCCTCTCATGTCTTTTGCTACCTTGTTGCCGTCAGCCTACTCACCTACTGCCTACTACCACCACCACTACTACTACTACATGCCAAGTACACCCCTCCCCTTCCCTCCCCATCCTACCCATACCGCCTACCCGTCAAGCACGTAGTCTCGATATCGTGGCTGGACGCCCCAGCCCCAAAGTGTAGGACTACCCCCCGGCCATTGTCTACTCGTCCACCAATCATGGCCGCAATCACTCCTTCTCCAGAGATCAGCCCCGTGTCAGCGGCCACCACCAATGGAGGCTTTCCCCGTGACGCCTTCTGCCTCAATCTCTCCACTCTGCCAGACACCAATAACTTCGTGCTTAAATCCACTCTAAGATCTCCCCATCTCCTCGAGTCCCCCAATGGCTTGTTCTCGGGAAGTGGTAGTGTAAACAGTACCTTCAAGAAGCGACCCCGCAACATGTCACAATCCTCTGGTACCGACCGGGAAATGTCCAACGACACCACCCCGCCCGCACAGTCAAATGGTATCGCGCCCACCAGCAACGGCACCAACGGTGCCAGCACAGAGCCACGCCCAACAAACAAGAAGCGTCCAAGTACCGACACAATAGACTATCCGCGGCGGCGCGCAACTATTGCGGTACATCAGCCACTTTGCTTTCATCTTGTTCCACAACCTTCCTCTGGCCCAGAAACTGACATCAACTAGTGTGAGATATGTCGGTCACGCAAGTCGCGATGTGATGGAACCAGGCCAAAGTGCAGGCTTTGCACAGAGCTCAACGCAGAATGCATCTACCGCGAACCCGGCATCAAGCTTGACGCAGGCGACAAGCTCATTCTGGAACACTTGAACCGCATCGAAGGCCTGCTCCAATCCGGTCTTACCAGTAACTTCTCTCTCTCTTCCCACTCGCCCGCAGCCAGCAACTCGACCAGCGAAGATTTTCTCGCCCGCGGTAGCGGCAATATACCCCATCTCGGCATGGTTCAGCCGATCAACGGCATCGGCACATGGACCAACCATCCTTCAAATATCTCGACCATGCCAAAGACCCATAATACTGCCGCGCTTAATCTGCTGTCGTCACCAATGATCCGCGAGCTCGTTTCTCGCCAGTATGACGCCAAGATCCTTCTCCAGCTCGAGATGACTAGGGAATCCGTAAGCCTCGGAGTCAGTCGCGGGCTAGATCTCTCCAATACAGGCGCATATGTTCAAGCGTATTTCGAGAGAGTCAACGTCTTCTACGCCGTTGTCAACCCCTACACCTGGAGTGCCCACTATCAGACTGCCCTCAGCCATGGATTCCGGGATGGCCCTGAAAGCTGCATAGTGCTCCTGGTGCTTGCGCTTGGTCATGCTGCAAGCACAGGCAGCATCACACAGCAGAATCCGGAGAAGGATCCTCCGGGCTTGGCGTACTTTGCTGCAGCCTGGAGCTTGCTGCCCACCGTAATGACAAGGAACAACATGGTTGCTGCACAATGTCAGATCCTAGCCGCAGCGTACTTGGTATACCTTGTGCGTCCCGTCGAGGCCTGGAACGTATTGTCGGGCGCGAGCATGAAGCTTCAACTCCTGTTGAGCGCGCCTGGTCGCGTGTCTCCTGCCGAAGAGGAGCTGGGCAAGAGAGTGTATTGGAATGCAGTCATGATTGAGAGTGATCTGTTGGCAGAGCTTGATCTTCCTCACTCTGGTATAGCACAGTTTGAAGAAGGATTCTCACTTCCAACTGGCTTTGAAGACCTGGGAACCGATGCTGTTGGTCGCGATGAGCTCTGGTATTTCCTCGCCGAGATTGCTCTCCGGAGACTACTCAACCGCGTAAGCTCTATGCTCTACATCCGAACGACGCCATACTCGAAAGGCCCAGCTGCTACCTCGATTGCGCAACTAGACCCACTGGTCGTGGAGCTAGATTACCAATTGAACCAGTGGTATGCTGGATTACCGCCAGCCATGCAGTTCCCGCTCGACAGAGTGCCACTGCAGAACCCCGTCCAGACCGTACTGAGACTACGCTACTTTGCATGCCGCACAATCATCTTCCGACCCTATGTGCTTCTTGTGTTACAAGACGAATCTCTTGCCATGGACTCCAGTGTGCAGGATAACTGCCACAAGTGCCTTGAAGCATGCGTTCGTCAATTGGAATACATTACTGCGCACCATGCTGGACATCTGCCTTATTTGTTCCAAGGCGCTCTTTCGTGAGTTCACCATCCAAGCCATTCGTGCATAAGCTAACCATGCTCTAGTATCATCTCGCAAACACTGCTCATCATGGGTGCAACTATGACACCTTCTTTATCGCAGCTTCTTCCGCCACCTGCAACAATGGACGATATCATAAACAACGTTGTTCTAGAGATGGAGCGCTACGCGCATCTTGCGCCCAGTCTTCGTCTCTCTGCTGAGATTATACGTGAAGCCGAGGGAAAGCGACAGATGTGGCTACGAACAGCAGGACTCAAATTTGAAGTTTGAGGGACTTGAATCATGGTAGTTGCCAGGCATTATGCAAGGCACCATCTGGCGCCTTGTGACTACCGGGCAGAACGGCTCCTACAGGACTAGGGGCAATGTCCATTATCGACTCCGCTGCAAGATTTGCCTTCCATTTTTGGTGAGCTCCGCGCACATATGCATTAGGAAGTCCTCACTACACGCGACGTTGACTATCATATACGAGACAAGAGCGGGGTAGTCGGACCAACCCAGTTCTGAGGTCAAGCACAGACCTGCACACCCGGCGTCCTATGTCGGTACCTACATACCCTATCACTTACCTATTGTATGTATGTGCTCCGCACAGACGACGATCAGCCTTGGAATCTTTGCAACATCCTAAGCTTTGCCTTTTACAGCTGTCATGATTGGTGAGTCCAGTCGTGGCGTGGCATCTGGGGGCGACTTTGCAAGGCGAACCCAATATTGCAAGCACGATGAAAGTGCTTGGCAGAAGACAACCAGCCAAGGAAAAGGATGCATGCTCCGGAAGAGCCGCATCCTAATGGAGAAGGTTACCCAATTGCCTATACCCCCATGGCAGAGAAAGACCGGATAATCAGCGAATAAATAAAAGTGATGAATTGAAAGGACGTTCTGTGGAGACTGGAATGTATACTAGCCATACGAACCCGGCCCCGCCACGGGACGTTGGCCTGAGCCGCTGGCCATTGCCAGTTCTAGGATGATGGGCGTGAAAGAAGATTTCTTATGGTGGACCAGCACAAAGCTTTGCCAATTAGAAACAATGCCCATGCCCCATGTCAACCTTTTGCATCCAGCTCTGACCATGTTCCCGGCAGTGATTGTGACGTGCCTTTGTACATACATACATACATACATACATACTACTCGACTTACCTAGCTCTGCCCTCGTGCATAACACCCTAACACGGTAACACATACATGGCGTACGCGCGCGCGCACACACACACGGCACAATTCTGAACACCCACACATATCCATACCCACACGCACAAAACAGTGACTAACGCAAGTCCCCCGCACAAGTGTAATCTATATCATGCAGCACGGTACCGGGGTACCCAACCCCCTGCACACCCAACACCTTGTGAGCTTAAACGCCTTTACCCGCACGCCTAGCTTTCGGGCCTTCTGGAAAATGGGTAGAAAGTTCTTTGAAACCTTCGAGAAACCGGTCTCTAAACAGTAAGATGATGCTGAGCAGGGGTGAGGAGGGTGTGTAGGAGGGGGTCGCGTGGTAGGTGAGAGGGGAGCTGTCGTCAGCTCTTCATCTGAGATATTAGTACCGTCACTATTGGCTCATAGTCTTTAGCTGATAGGCACCGGGGCTTAGCCGAACTAACGCTGCGCAGCCTTCACCGATGGCCTTCTATGGATGAACCTATGTATGTACAACCCGCCAGTACATTTTTGTGCAAATCCATAACTATCGTGTCTACACAATGCCCATCAGCAGGAGGCGAAACAGCCACAAGCAAAACAGATCGTCGCAAAATCATATTGTACTTGTTCACGTGCCGAGGCATCCGCAGTAGCAATCATCGCTTAATGCCGTATGGATAGTATGCCACTAGGATCCGGAGCTTAAGCTAGTCAAACCCCAGGTATTTTGAAGACCGGCTTCTGCAACCCACGGGATATGACGATGTCAAACTCTAACCCGTATCTGCTGAAGAGGTCATGCCTGGTGCTTGAGTGCCTGCGTTACCATTGGTGATGTTCGGATTAAGACGACGCCACAGTCGGGTAGACGGGAGCTCGTGCCGCCACCACTACCACTACCAAATACTTGAAGTCTTGTGAGAAGAACATCTTCAAGACATGGCGCTGTGTCTCCTCATACCATTATGGTGCTGCGGTCTGGTGGCACACGACTGGATGTCATTGCAGACCCGATTAGGTGGATGTGGGTCGTGGAGAAGTTCCAGAAGCAGCATAGAATGCCCCTAGCCGTAAAGTATAAATTTCACCGACGATGTACAATCGCCATCGAGCGCTCGGGCTGCGTTTTCAGCCCGTTCCTAGCCAAGCAAATCCCTCTTACAGAATACAATCGTGTCAGCCCAATACGCTCTCGCCTGTCCATCTGCTCGCCATCTATCCACGCGTCATGATAAAATTTGTTTCAAGATTGTTGGATCCTTCATCGTTGTCATCTTGCGTTCGTACGAATAAGATTTTCTCAATCTCCGATCTTCCCTCGGGCTATATACGGCCTCCAGGTGACTTATGAGTTCATCACATCTAGACCAGTTCGTATTGCTAGGTACGCAACTATACCCTGTCCTTAAGTTTGGAGTATTATCGTCCAGAATCATCCGTAATATTAAGAGTTTCTCAACATTCCGCCTCTTTAAGGGGTTCATTGACAATGTAGTATAATGAGCTACAAACGATTCATCACGTGAGCTTGACCGTATCTGCCGGCAAAGTAAATGCCGGCCGCACCTTGCTCGTAGCGTGTTATCTGAAACACACGCATACACTTTGACAAGTACTTTGTTCCCTTTCCAACTATACCGAAAATGGCCCTGAGAGAATACTTATAATCGTCCGGTGATCTATTGGCTAGGTTGATTTCTAAAACGAAAGCGGATGGATAGGCACCAGTTGGGTTCTCGGGTTGCCCAAGGTAGTTAGTAACATAGTAACAAATCATGAAGTCGCGAAACATGAGTTCTACGAGAGATGTCATCAATCACATGAAAGTTGATTCAAGTGGAAGAAAGTCACCAAACGCTACCGAAAGCGCAGAGATGCTACTTGCCGAAAACATTTTGACTTGAAGACAAGGTGATTGGTGCATACTTGACCCTACCCGGCTCGTGCGTTAGCGTAGCCGGACCCACTAAAATTTCTTTGCAACTTGGGTGTCTGCGCGCGACAAAACACAACCACGACTGCATCTCCAACATCATGGCTGTCGACAACTCGCTCGAGTCGCTCCTCGCGACCCTCACGACATCTATTCAATCTGCTACCGAAGCGCTGCCCAATGATGATATCGTGCCTCCAAAGGAAGGAATCTCCCTGCTGGACGTAAAGAACGAGCTGCTTCTGAGCTACCTGCAAAACCTAGTTTTCCTTATTCTCCTAAAACTGAGGTCACGGAAAAGCAACCAGAAAGAGGCAGATCTGCACCCTCAGGATGAAGTCGTTCAAAAGCTTGTTGAACTAAGGATCTACCTGGAAAAGGGCGTTCGCCCCCTCGAAAGCCGTCTGAAATACCAAATCGACAAGATTTTGAGGACAGCAGATGATGCCACTCGTCGCACTACCCAGGCTCCTACAAGTTTGGCTTCAAGACCCAAGAAGATAAAGACAGACACGGGATCCGATTCAGATGTGAGCGATGCCGAATCAGCTGGGTCCGCACAGACGGAAGAAGACGAAGACGAAATGGCATACGGCCCCCGACGTGCCCAAGTTACACGCCAAAAGACGGAAGCCAGTCAGGAACGCGCTCGTGAATCTGCAAAAGACGGCATCTACAGGCCCCCCAAGATTACACCCATGGCCATGCCGACTCCAGAAGGTCGCGAAGCGCGACGAGAGCGCCGTCCAGGAAAATCAGCTACTCTGGATGAATTCATCGCCACTGAGCTCTCCACTGCTCCCATCGCTGAGCCCAGTATTGGTTCTACCATTACACAGGGCGGCCGGCACACCAAATCCGAGCGTGAGCGCCGCGAAGAGAATGAACGACGCGAATATGAAGAAGCAAACTTTACTCGCTTGGCTCCAGAGAGCAAAAAGGAGGCTGCTAGGAAAAAGGCCCGGCAGCAGCGCGATGGTGGTTTCGGAGGCGAGGAATGGAGAAGTTTGGGCGCGGGCATTGACCGCATTGAACGACTTACGCAGAAGAAGGGCGGTAATTTGGGAAGCTTGGAGAGGAGTAGGAAGAGGCCTGTTGGCGATGGTCCAAGAGGTTCGGGATCCGCTGCCGGAGACGCGTTTGAGAAGAGGAGGAAGATTGTTGGAAGATATAGGTAAGACTACAGGGGGTTACTTGAAAATCAAGACGAAGAATTGCCCATCTTGTAATATTTCAACCAAACGATACTCGCCAATCTGCGTCACACATGACTTTGAACTTGCAAACTACATATCCACCCGATTCTGAGAAGCCGTGTTCACAGTCGATAAGAGATGGAGCAGAGTTCAAAACAGAAGAAACCTTGATCAACGAGCCGAGAATCATATGATTTCATGATGAATAACTACTTAATGCTTCTCGTCTCGTAAAGAGTATCCACAGATAGTCTGCTGATAATGTTCATCATCATCATGCCTTTGACGCCTATGCTATGCGTTCTGCAATGCTGATCCTTCCCAGTGCCAAATCGATGCTCGCCCTAAACATAAAACTCCATGAAAGGCAAATAAAAACCCAATGCGGCTAGGCGAAGTTCTTACGCCAAATACCTATACGAGTCAACCTGTGCGCCCTCTATGCGCTCAAGGTATTCACGTTCAATAAGCGACTCGATACGCTTCTTGACCATGTTGACCTCAGGTTTGAACTGCCCAACCAGTTGGCTGAGCGTCTCTGACATGAGTTGTTGATGCGATAGCTCTTTGCGTTGCCTAAGGAAGCTGGTTAGCATGCGACACAGTACATGGTACAACAAATTACGTACTTCATGATTCGCACAACAGCAGCCTCGATACAGAAGCCTCGCGAATCGTCGTTCTTCTTTTCTGTTTCTCGCCGCTCGCGATCACTCTCAACCTTGTTTCCTCCACTAACGACGCCAACTTTGATCTTGACAAACTTGCCTTGGAAGCCTTCGTTGAAGAAGAAGCGATCGGTAGGCTTCACGTCCTTGGACATGGGCTCTTTTACTAGAATACGCGTCTTTGGCGCTACAGCAAGCGACTGAAGGTTTCTGATCAAGTCACTAGGTGGTATGTTGGTCCGTGCCTGGATCTCCTCAAAAGTGATGTGTTGATTTGGAGCGAGATCGTTGAATAAGAGCAGGATAACCATGCCGTATGTTGACACGTTAAGCTCGTGACGACGCTCCTTGAACGAGCCGTCCTTTTGCGGTACTTTGGGGAAAACAGCCTTGATGTCTGCCGAACCCATGTTGGCTAGCCAGGTAAGTTGTCGGCCAGAGTGCTTCTGGCTATAGAACTTCTCAAATCCACGCCTGAGCTTATCAATAACGGCAGGGTAATTGCACCGTGGCCGCTGATCTTCTTCGTCGGCAGCTGCGCCACCCATTGTCTCAAGAGGCCATGTCATGCTTGTAAGCACGTTGATGGATAGCTCGATTCGCTTTGGGTCCTTATCGCCCAATCCTTCAACATGTTTCTTGAAGCCAGCGGTTAGCTCTTCGGAAATGGTCATGTCCTTGAACATGGCCTCTAGCTTCAGCGTAAAGTTGTTGCCGAGCTCAATCTTCATCTTTGAAATCATCTGCTTTTCGACTTCGTTGCTGATCGACTTGTTCATCAACAATCGTCGGCATAGATGCTTCTTGTAGTAGCGCTCGAAGAGATCCTTGTCTTGAACATATCGCAGTAGTATAATGGCCTTTTCTAAAACCGCGTCGATCTCAGACTCGGTCTTGCCCTTGATACCCTTTTTCATATTCTCGTCGATGAAGAGAGAGATGTACTCTGATGAGCGTGGGAAGGTTGGAGAGTTGATGAAGTCAGTGAAACTCTGCGTTTGCGCCTGCTGTAACAATGGATCGGACTCAAAAGACTCTCGCCAGATTTTGTCAAACCTGTCTTTGAGTGCAAGGACATCCTCAACCCACTTGATCGCAGCGACTGTCTGCTGGTTCAGACTCTTTTCTTGTACAGGGCCCTTGGCCTTGTCAGCAGGATCGGCGACGGGCACAACAGCAGGCGCCTGCGACGCGGCAATTGCATCCTTGTTGATATCCGAACCCATATCCACGATGCGCTGCTGAATGGCGCGAGTGATTTCCATCTTCTTGTCATCTACACGCCTGTTCAGATCGTAGATGAGATTTAGCTCTTCAAGCCTATGATTGTCAATCATGAAGCGCACGCCACTCTCCATTTCGACAAGCTCGTGTATGCGGTTTTTGATCAACTCGTCCTCCACTACCTTCTGAATCTTGGGTCCAGTGCTCTCTAGCAATGTCTGCTTGCAGCGCTCGTCTTCCTCGTAAATTCTTCGTCGCGCATGTTTGCAATATGCACCCGCATGGCAGTCGCGTAGCAACAATTCGGATTCGCCCCGGTAAAAAGTGCTGCTTGTCTCTAAGTACTCCTTCTCGAATGAAGTGTTGTATAATCGTTGTTCTTCGGATTCTATGTCAGCCTCATGCAAGCCTTCCAACATCCATACACAGGATTTGATAAGTTGCTTGTCAATGACATCGCCATCGCGTTCCATCTGGATCTGGTCGAGGATGATGTAACTTAGCAGGCCGAGAATAGTGCGAGCGTCGGATGGAGATACTGGCGAATTTAGAATCTCGTCGCGAAACAGAACCATGGCAGCGTTGTAGATAGAGGGTCGGCGGTGGTCGGCACAATAGACACGATCCTTTATCACATATGTTAGCTTGTGTTGACTCTTTGTATGTTATGAAGAGGTTCCAGCCTCACCATATACATGAGCACGTCTGCCAGCATGCTTGTGCAGATTTGGTGGTCACTCCATGCCTGCCGCAGTCCCTTTAGAAACTTTTCGCCAGCGACGCGTCGCTCGTTGGGCGTGGTTCCGCCTATACTCTGCGGATTTACGAGGAGGTTTGGGGATATTAGTTGCTGGATAGTGCTGCGGACCTCGGTGCTCAGCCAGTTGCTCTCGAATTCGTGGACCTTATTGTATAGATTTTCGCCCTTCTTCTTGAGGACGATACGGTAGGCGTGGCGGTACAACTCCTCGTATGACAGCTTAGATGCATTTTTTGTATGTATTTCGCGAAAGGCCGCCTCGATGGTGCCCCATGTGTTCTCGAAATCAATCTCATCGCCATGTAGACCCTATGAGCGTGACATGATCAGTGTGGGACGGCAAGGGCGAATGCGCAAAACTTACCCTTCGTGGGGGCCTTATCCGCTGCCTGCCCCGTCCTGCAATCATGTTTGGTAGTGTCTCGAGGGTAGAGTGGAATGTTCAAAAGCACAAGATCTTGGTGCGGTTGAGAGCGGAGCAAGGTCGATGGTGGCTGCAAGGCTTGGTGTGGCGGGAGAGGTCGGAGAACAAGGGTGCGTATGTTTAGCAGAGCACCAGCATGCTCGTGCGCTGCAAAGAAACAATGAATCGGAAAAGAATGGCTGGAGAGGTGCGCAAGGGCGTGAGAGATGAGGGATGAGGTCAGGTAAGAGTCCCCGCTGAATGGCCGCGGCTGTCATCGTCATTGCTTGGCGGTCGATCAACTTTAATCATTCTTTTGCCCGCGGGCATGACCTGCTATCTCAAACTCCACGCCCAGACAGCCGCCATGCGCTCCTCACCGTCTTTACTGCGCGCATTCGCCCGAAGTGCCGTGCCTGGGACAAGACTAAACGTCTCTACTGCTCGCATCCCAGCGTCCGCAAAACGCTTCCTGCACACACGGCAAACATTCACTGTCCTCCGCCCAGCGCCCGCACCATTGCGAGCGCCAGTCCCCTCCACTGTCCGCTTCGAGTCAAACACGGCCGCTCCCACGTCCACCACTGCCCCAGACTCACGGTTAGAACGCGACCAAGTCCCCTCGTACGAGCTCACCTTCACCTGCAACGTCTGCAAGACACGCTCGTCGCACCGATTATCAAAGCAGGGTTACCATCATGGAACAGTCTTAATCCAGTGTCCAGGCTGTAAGAACAGACATCTGATCAGCGACCATCTCAAGGTACCCTTACCATGAGCTTTCTACCCAGATACACACGCTCATTGCATAAAGGTTTTCTCAGACAAGTCCCTTACCATCGAAGATCTCATGCGCGAAAAGGGAAGCCTAATCAAGAAAGGTTCTCTGAGTGCCGAGGGCGACGTCGAGTTCTGGGACGACGGCACTTCTACGCCTCGCTCTGCACATTTCCATGCCGACTCTACGCCCAAAGGTGACAATCGCCTGTCACAGCTGCCAGACCCACCCAAACCCCCACAAGAATGAACGCTATGCTCCCCACACCAACTAGTTCACCGGTAGCTCACCTGCACCATGTTGCAATTGCCAGCACCCTGTATTATACTGTTTGAGTAATCATATATGGCCGATCCGCCTTCACCGAAGTTGCTCCCCTTGTATTGGATCTCAGTCATTGAAACGGTCTATTTTTCAAAATCACTCCGTAGAGGCATGCGCGAGCCTGTACCCAAGGAAACCACCCCCCAAAAAACAATTCACACAGGGTATCATATCAGCAAGCGTTCGCCCTTCCCATTACCATAACGCCTAATTCCAATGCTTTTGAAACAAAAGAGAGGCCGACTTCTTTCCCGCAATATACCTGGACGCTAGGGGTGTAGGCCTGGTCTCATTGTTCGAGAAGATCCACGTGATGTTATCAATATCCCAAACTAGCTCAGCACTGCCGCGTGGATAGAAAACGACATCTTTACCCCTCCCCTCTCCTTCGCACGCCGTACAGAGCTACTTCACCGTCGTCCTGTCGCCGGAACTATCGATTTCTCCTTTGGCATCTTCTTGTCGTCGCCAAGCTTACCAATGGAGCTCTCTGTGTGCATGTGAGGCGCTACCTCGACTAGCCATTCTGGACTGATAGGCAGAACGGCTCGTGCATAAGTCTTGGACGACTCTACGATCTCGAAATAGACGATCCATTTTGGACGGTTCTCGATCAAACTTGACGATGGATGTATGAAGATGGTCATCCCGCTGTTGGAAATTGCACGATAACTCAATCCGTCGCGTGCTAGCCTGGCAGCATTGATAAAATAAGCTGATGTTATGCACTTACGAATAGCAACATGATTCGTGCTACCACAGCTGGAAAATGGTACCTCGACGCGATCACAGAGCTTGGTCAACTGGTCGCGCACGTCGCGAGCTCGATTGAGGCATCTCCACTGTAGAAAATTCTCAGTCGCCCATCGACTGTCAAAGCCACTGTCCTCAAACTGGTCCCATATATTGAGAAACGTCATGAAGTCACCACCTTCTTTGCTGCTGAAGCGGGCTCGAGCAGCATCTGCCGCCACTCTTTTGTCTTTTGGCCGGAGGAAAAGTGAGGCTGACTCTCCCAACACACTGACAATTGACAGTATCTCCTCGCGACAGCCGTACTTCTCCGAAGCAAGTATAGCCTTGGAAAGTTTGATGTCAAGTGGCAATTCTGCCATTCGTCGGCCAAGTCGAGTTAATTTTCCAGTAGAGTCCAGAGCTCCCAGCGCGTACAGATTCTCCAGAGACTTGATAAGAGATGTGCTTGATGGAGGATCCAGGAACTCAAACTCAAGCAGATTGTCGATGCCTAAAGCCTTTAGCGTCAAGACGACACCATCCAGGTTTGCGCGCAGTAGCTCGGGCTCAGTAGTTTCGCTGAGCTCATTGTAGAAGGCGTGTTTTGTATACAGGCGGTAGCAATATCCCTCGCTTGTGCGTCCAGCACGTCCTGCCCGCTGGTTGGCGCTTGCACGAGAAATGGGGCTAACGATCAGCGAGCTGATGCCGTTTGACGATATGTAATTACTCTGCTTGCTATAGCCCGAGTCAATGACATGGCGAATGCCGTCTATAGTTAGCGATGTCTCAGCAATGTCGGTAGAAATGACCAGCTTTCTGGCATTGGGTGGCGTAGGCTCAAAGACTTTAGCTTGTGCATCTGGCGGAAGCGCACTGTACAGCGGACAAACAATCAGTTCTTTAGCTCGCCCGCCCAACTTCTTCATGGTTGTTTCTATGTTCTCCACGGCAGCTTGGATCTCTTCCTCTCCGGTAAGGAACATGAGGATGTCTCCCGGAAGCTCTGCAGCCAAGTGAATTTGGAGAGCGGACGTGATACCGGCGCTAAGGTAGTTGGCTTCTGGGGCGCTCGTGTAGAGAATATTAATCGGGAAGGTCCTGCCTTCGACATAAAACGTAGGTGCATCGTCGAAATATTTTGAGAATTTGGATGCGTTGATCGTGGCAGAAAGGACCAGCAGCTTGAACTCTGGCCTGGCACGGCAAACTTCACGGCATAGGCAGAGCAGAAGATCTGAAGCGATTGATCTCTCGTGTGCCTCGTCGATCATCACCACAGAGTAGTTTGACAATAAGGGATCGGTCATAGCCTCGCGTAGAAGTACACCATCTGTAGCGAACTTGACAATGGTCTTGTCGCTTGTCTTGTCGTCAAAACGGACACTGTAGCCAACTTCGTGACCTAGCTTGCATCCATACTCTTCTGCAACACGCTTAGCCACGCTCATGGCTGCTACTCGTCTGGGCTGTGTGATTGCAATCGATCCAGTCTTCGTGTAGCCAGCCTCAGCCGCGAATTGAGGAATTTGCGTCGTCTTTCCCGACCCAGTATCACCGACTACAACAAGTGTTTGATACTTGGAAACGGCATCGAGTATTTCCTCGCGGTACTTGTAAACAGGTAGACTTTTGCGAACCTCATCAATAGTCTTGGCCCGCTTTTCTGCCGAGTCGAGTTGGGCTTGGAGAGCCTGTTTAGCGGGATCGATGCGACTCGAAATGTCTTGTTGGAATTGAATCTGATTCGAAGTATCGAAGACGAATTCATAGTCGTCCTCCTGCACTCGCTCGGCTTTCTTGGTCTGACTTTTGATCTTGTTCATCTGGTCTTCCTCCCACTGCTGGTATTCCGACTTGAAGTGGCTCGCATCGTCACGACGGTTGAGCACTTCGGCCTTGTTCGAGAAGTCGGCATCGGGGATCATGAACCCATCGCGGTGCTCGTCAATGGCATTTCTTGCTTCGGCCAACCTCAGAGTCTCTCTGTTCTTTGCAAACTCTTTGCGCTCCCTCTCTGATAGCCTGGATCCTAATCTCTCTTCCTCCTCTGCTTCATCGGCGACTTGGCGGCGGAGGATGGCGAGTTGTTGCGCCTCTCGTTCAGCAAGGTACTTTTGTCGCGACGCGAGGCGGAGCGCGCTGACGTCTTGATCGCCGGTCTTGCGGCGTTTTGGATCCATGATGGGTGATTGGTGTATATGTGCTTGCTCGTAAGGGGGTGGTGGACAGCGAACGAAGCTCTCTACAAAATGTTGAAGCTCGGGCCAAGTGGCGGGAGAACAGCGGAAGCCGAGTCACGCCAAGGGGCTGTTCGGTTGCCTTCGTTACACCCACAGTTAACCTAGTCACGCCTATTGGCGTACATCTATAGATGAGATAATAGAAGTAACAGAAGTAAGAGAGGTAAGAGAGGTGGGAGAGACAGACTGACGATATTGCGAGTCTGTAGGCATCGGAGCACCCTGCTACACTGCGTGCCCTTATTGCAACTACGGTTCGCTGTTGCGGCTTTCGTCGCAATTGTAGTTCGCTGTTACTGCCTTCGTCATAACCGTATATTGGTTATCGTGCCTAATAGCGGTATGCCTAACAGGGATATACCTTAAGAGGCTTTTAGTAGTACTACTAAACTATTTCCTAGAGTTTTAAAAGTAGACTCTTACTAACGTAATTCTTCTCTAAATTATCTGACCATATACTTTAACTATAAAGTTGGTTTTTTTAATACCTATGTGTAGCTGGTTAGAGTGTAGCCTACTATTCTTTTCTAAAATAATTAATTTAATATACTATGAGCCAGACAGATGCAAACAATGGAAGCCGTTAAGAGGCGCACTGCTGACCATTTCAAATGCTACAATGGTATTTTTTCTTCAAGTTATGAATTTGTTCTATTCTTTATGCCCCGCTCATTAAAAACGTTGTTCGCAATGTCATGCTTCATGAACGCTATAAATACAAGAACAAATACAAATGACCCATAGCAAGACTCCTATGTTACAAGTAACAAGAAGGATTCTCTCCTTGACAAGTGACGAGATGGCGGAGGGCCTATGGACGTCCACGTC